TCGCTGCGAGATCCAGAGACCGCATCGCCATGTTCGTTCGTGGTCGGGTTGCCTTCTGCGTCGATTTGCTGAATGGCATCATCGTTGAGAACGTTAACTGTGACAGTGGTGCCTGATTGCTTCTTGTTCCCACCGAGCTTCTTGATTCCCTTCCTCGGGCTTGCGAGCATTTCCATGCTGTCGTTGCGAGGCACTTCTTTCTCTTGGACGATAGCGGAGACCTTGGGGCTTTCAAGGGAAGATTGACTGCTTGAATCTTCTGGGTTCGGCCCATTACCATATGCGGCTTCCCATTGAGCACGTTCTTTCTGGAAGTTATCCTCGACCTTGCGGCCTCGTTCCTCCTCTTCACGGTCAAGATCCTGTTGCCTTTCCAGTTGCTGGGCAGCTGTCTTGGTGCGATGCTCCTTGACTATTTTCCAGACCCGCATCTGGGAGACGATGCCAGCAAGGGCGATGATGACTACACCAGCTAGTTCGGCCTTGATGTTTTTGGTTAATGGGTAAGTGGTTGTGTTCAATGGGAATATGTTGTCGTTGAGGTCTGCAAGAGTTAGTAATCGTCATATGGACGTGGTTTCTGCACTCACTCCAGATGTACAGCCAAAATTCCTTCCAGCCTGAGCCAGCCAAACAGTCTATACCGAGTATGGTAGCAGTGGCGCCTGAGAATGCGATGGATGCAATTAGACCGTAGTTGCGGGTGTAGTGACTGAAAGACAGCGAGTAGCCACCAGCAGTCATACATCCAATGAAGATTGCCCGACCGGTGCTGGAACTGATCAAGCCTCCCTCTTTGAGACTGAGGAACCACATGCTTAGGCAGAAACCACCAAGCAAGCAGCCAAAACCTTCACTGATGTCTGCAAAGACTAGCGATAGGATACCGAAAATGACACCGGTAAAGAATGCTGCAATGAAAAAAGCACCCTGGACCGCATTGGAGACGGGTGCGTTCATCAGGTAAACCACCAACACGGTGACGGCAAGAGCTGTCAGGTAGGCAGCAGATCCGAAGACATATACCCTGCCTTGAGTTAGATGACGTGCAAAGAAGGTTGGTGGTGCACATACATCTTCTTTTTGATGCCAATAATGGCATATGCTAAGCCGCTAAGCAGTAAAATTACGCCAGTGATGCCCATTGCGGGGGTAAGAGTGGGAACAATTGGTAGAGGGTTACCAGAAACCGGAGCTGTATTACTTGGTCAGTTTACTGTCGTTGTAGCTAGCGCGGGATGACTCACAGGTAGAGCTTGTTGGCGATGGTACGCCAGAAGCAGGTGTGGAAGGCGCATTGGTGTTAGTGGAAGGTGCTTCTGAAGGCTTCACTGATGAAGCAGGTGTCGACGACGGGGCATCAGACTCAATGCGCGATGAGGGTACTGCAGATGTGGAGGGAGTTGGTGCAGGTTGCTGAGACGCGGTGCCCTGGATTGGGGCGGGCGTTTCTTCAGCAGGGGGCTCGTCCTGGCGACGAACGGCAGCATGGGGAGCTGCGGTTGCTAATTGCAGACATAGAGCAAGGACGAGCAAGACAACGAGACAACGGTAAGAGAAGCGCATGGCGAAGGTGGAGAGAAGGTGTTCCTAGTGGTGGTGGTGGTGGACAAGTGCCATGGAAGGGAATATTACGATTACTGTGTTTGGCGAAGGAGAGATATGGTCCTGGCAAAAAAACACTTGGGCGGGAAGGCGCGAGTTCTGGAAGGGTGGCGATAGATAGGCGCACAAAGAAATACAGAAAGAACGACTAGTAGAGTTGGAGTGGGTGGAAGAGCAGTGACAAATTACCAATTGTGTAACGCGCGAATAGAAAGGAGTGTCGTCGGCACAAGGGCCAGTAATTGATGCAGAAGATGCTTGAAGGAATGCAGCAAACGTCGAGTTGAATGGGTCACGAAGGGTGCATATACCAGACGACAGGCCGTCGACATCGGGCGCCAGGGCCCTGATACGAGATCGACACAGGTCCCGCGAGGTGCAAAAAGCGAGGGGCTTAGCAGGCACGGCCCTGATCCTGCAATGACGAGGGAGCTGGGCCACGGATCTCGCGGCGCCAGAAACGGCGTGCTTTTTCGGGGTCATCCATACTGCGATTGGTGTGGTCCGGTCCTTGGACGGTGTTTAATTTTAAGATTGCCATGTTAGTTACCAGTCAATCCATCGACTACTGGACGATAGGATACGCGAGGAACGCCTCCAAGAAGTTAAATAGCACGAAAAGGAAAGGCATGTATACGGTACGGATGACCAGATGCAGCACTGACACGCAAAGGTGGTTTAAACGCTGTCTGGAGCCGGATGTCTGTTCTCTGGCTGACCTGGTCGTAGCACCATTGTGGGGGCTTGCGCTTGGGTTATGGGTTCCAAGCCGTTGGGTGTCCCTATGCGAGACGAATCATGACTTTCCACACCTACAGTAGCTGAGCGTGGATGTGTGCGAGCGGACAAAGCCATGGCTGCCGTCGCGATAGGAGGTGTTGGAGGAAGACGCGCCGCGTAGCGCTTAACTCAAGTTACAGTACTCATAAGGCTGCTCCTCGGACCGTCAGGGTTACGCTACCCGCTCTGCATAAACAAACTCCACATGGAAGCTCCTCACATAATACCACAGAGTAAGTATGTACAAGACGTCGCGTTGCTGCCGCCGCAGTAGTTCCGCAAGGTTTGCGCCCCCCGAACTCTCAACACGCTTCAATACACACTTTGCTGCTCTGCGTGTGAAAAGAAATCAAATCGGCCTCCCCACGGCGCGTCGTCGCGACAACATAGTCTTGTCCGAAAAGGGATACGCACGTCGCCTTGGCACAGATCAATGGAACCGACGCCTGCGCCTGATCTGCTGCGAGCCGTGCGAGTTTCCCGAGAATCCACCATGCAGACCTCTGCAGCCATGTGTGCTCATCACCGTGCGCTGACAGCTGCCCCGGGGCCGAGCCAGCTGCCACCACCTGTCGCGGGTTTCATCACTTGCCCGTACAGACGTCAGCTCTCATGCCGTCGTCGTCTACCTTGCATACTGACTCATTGTTGTTTCGGCTTCAGGATGCCATCGCATACATAGCCTCTTCCCTCCATTTGTCGCATCCTGCTGCTCGGATAAGACCGCTCTTGGATGCTGATCATGGCACCACCCTGGCCCGGCGTTCTTCCCAAACCTTGGTGGGTCTATTAAGATTGGCAATACAGGCGAACCATGTCTGGATTGTTACACACTGAAAACTCATTTTTCGTCCATGGTTAAACAAACACTCAATTCGTTGCAAGGCGCTCATATTCATCTATGGATTCACTTTTGCCCAACTAGCCATATCAGTCGTGGCCGCGGCGTCGCGACTGCTGGCGCCACCGCCCATCAATGGTGCAACACATCCGGTTGGGCGTTCGTCCGTGACTCGAGTGTGATAGCCTTCCGATCACCGTTTACCCGGACACGGGCGCGCTCCAACCCGGTAGCTGTAGCGAGTCACGTTCTGACGTTCAACGGTGCCCTCACCCTCAACCGACCAAGCAACAGCTGTCAACTGCTCCGAATCCCGCAGCTACACCTCCCTCTTCGCTCTGATCGCCTTTGGTGCGGAGAAGGTAGCCTGCCTCCCAGTTCTCCAGTATCTTACCCCTATTCTCGTCTCCGCCTCCGTCCCTCCAAAGGCAGACGCCATACACACCAAGTTCGCAGATGACGCCACCCTTTTGTATTTCCCCATTCCGGAGAATGGCGTTTTGTAGTGGAGGCGGCTCGATCATCTCCATCAGGATGTATGCTGGCCAATGCGTCTCGGGGAGCTTCTGCAAGAATGGGGGAATGGCTTTCCGATAGACATTGTTACCACCTCCCTCGCGTTGGGGCTTCAGCACGTACTTGGTGGCTGAAGAGGCATTGGTTGCGAGCTTCCTTGCTTCTCTGCCAGCCTCACTATCATCTAGCGGGTAAATGGGTGCAAAGGTCTCGAGCACTCGAGAAGCCACCTGATCATCGGGAAGGAAGCGCTTCAGGTGTGGCGAGTGCGGTGTTGCGAGTACTTGTTGAACCTTTTTGCAGCCCGCGAGGTGGGTCAGAATGCTCGGACACTTGATAGCGCGGCTTTTCTCGAGCTGAAGCCGGGCCGTCCAGTCTTCGCCCTTCGGGTAATCATCCGGAGAGTAGCCCGCCCGAAAGTAGATCGTTGTAATCTCGTAAGGTGTTGAAGACGAGTTGGGTGGTGTGTAGATCAGTGTACGATCAGCGTCAAGTTGGGTGTGCGACAATGTCTCGCCGAACGGTAATCGGAACGAACGGACTCCGTTCTCCAGCAGGGCGTATTCGAGGTGTCTTTGATCGAAGACGTTCCTCTCTGGGTCTTGCACGACAAATAGTACACACATAGGGTGGCCAGTGCGCGATGTTCCGTATGCCTTGTGAGCTGCGGCGAGACCTTTCGCAAGGGATGAAGCAGATTTGCTCACTTCCAGAGCGGCTTCCTTGATGATAGATGATGTTGACTTGGGATAAGCGTCAATAGTGAGTAAGAACTTGTGCAACGCCGAGACCTGGGCGGACAGTCCTCCGAACGAAGAGGCAATAGTGTTGAACTCAACCTGCTTCAATCCAGACGACAGATGGGTCGGCGAGGGATCTTGGTGAACCATGTAGTCTGAGCGGAATAGACCCAGGGAGAGGTCTTGGACATAGCCGTCCTTTTTAACTTCGAGATGCGTCTGCCAGAGCTTTGCAACAAAGTCGTCAACACCCACAAGCTCCTCAACAATGCTCTTTAGCCATGCCTCGTCTCTTGCGATTGCTGCATAAAGTTCGTTATAAGCCTTTTGTATAGAAAGTCCTTGCTCAAAACAAGAACGTGGAAAGAGACTTGGAAACAACGTGACCGGCGCCGTGCTTGCAAGCACACCCGAAGGATCCTGCGATGGCCGGACAAACGACGGAGCTGGGCGTACTGCCAAGCCATGGGCTATTGACCAGTCCTTGAGGTTCGATAACAGGTATTGTTCCTCTTGAGGAGATAGTTCTGGAGGGTAATCGGCATACGATACTGGAGTCATGATTGCGGACTGTTGGTCTGTTGTGGAAGATTTGGATCGATCACATAATAGAGACTTACAAATGCCTTCCGCGCTAAAGCGATTGCCTCATCCACTGCCCCGCTGAAGACTGGCGCCTGCCTGCTTACCTTTTGTTACAACCCTGATCCACCTTTACTTGAGTCTTGTAAGATGAAACGATATTGAACTGTGCAGGCTCTCGAGAGAAGACCAATCGATGCATGTTTTTGCCCCTCCTCGCGCCATCACGTGATAGCGTGCGCGCTCAATCAAGATGTTGGGTTTCGGGCGCCTGCACGCTAGCCGCATCCCACAACTCGCTCGGGCGTCTGCATCGTGCTGCCACACCTACATGCATTCATACACATCCTAATACCACTTACCGAAACAATGCCTGTCAGTGACCCTTTGTCCTGGACAGTGGACCAACTCGTTGCCGAAATCTGCCACTCAGCTGTGCTGTACCAGGCTGCAGGGGTCTCCGTCGCCAATATTCCCGATGGCGCCGCGCTTGAGAAACAACTGAGAGCGAGGGAAATTACGGGAAGGGAATTCCTGAACTTGTTTGACAGGTCCGAAATAGCAGTCAAAAATGCGCTCAACATAGCTAGCCTAAGTCAACGGTTGGCTCTAGTGAATGTGTCTGACCTACTCCGATCGCGATCTTACACACATGACCAACAAGCAGCCACAGCGGGCGTCAAGTCGCTCAATATAAGCAGAGAAAGTCGTCCTGAACTCCCCGGCCCATCTGATCACACTGCCAATGGACGCAAGCGGAAAAAAGTCACGCCCGTAACGACTGCGCCGGTGCCTAAGAGGCCTCAAGCTGTCCAAACGTATGTTGCAGGACCAAGCGCAGGATTTCTCCCAGATGCATCAGCCGACAAAGAAAGCTGGAGCCATCTACTACGATGGGAAAATGAAGCAGCCACCGACGACATTGTAGACCTTGCCGCCGAGGAATACCAGGAAGAAGAAGATGAAGAAGATGAAGAGCTACCGGAAGAAGAAGAGGATGTAGAAGAAGCACCCTGTCCGAGTAAATTGAGCCAAAATCAGGTCGTCGATATCATTAATGAGCGTATTGAGTTTTATACCACTTCCTGGAAGCCTAACAAAGGCGCTGCCCGGGGGGAGGAAATAGATTACGACACCGTGCGCATGTGGGAAGAAGCAGAAGCATCGGGACAAAGGAAAGCTCTGGTACAGAAGTATAATATGGATCATACCTATTTTAGACAGAGACTTGACACGTTGTGTGACGAGATTGTAAAGTTTCCAGGACGCAATGCGGTAAGTGAATATCATCATAAGTACACGAGGACCACTCCTAACAGTCACTCGTAGGAACAAGTACGTCGCCAGTGCTGCAATCTCGAGGTGACTGTTGAGTCTATGGAACTTGCTGGCTGGCTCCGAGATATCTATAGCCTGTCGCCTGTCGTAAACAGCGACGAGGAGCTTCAAGACGAACCACAGCCAAATGACCATTCTCCAGTACAGCAACCGCATCCTGGTGCTTCTATGAAGATTATTGATCTTAGTTCACCATCGCCACAATCTGAGATCGAAGAAGAAATGGCCGGGAAAGTCTTAGAATTCCGGAGACAGTTGTCCATACCAGACTTAGTCATTGCTGACAGCGCGGAGCCAGCCATCATGCCAACCTACTCTGAAGTGGTCCCAACACGCACTCCTATTAATCATGGAGACGAGCCCGAACATGCCTCAATCGGCACAGTACGCCGCTGGCTATGGACAGACCTGATGGAGCATCTTGATCGCAAGCGTGTGGTTTCGAAAGCAATATTCGAATTGAGAGTGGATGACCGTGAACTAATCCGCAATCGAGTCTGGCGGGTTGGAAAGATCGCTACTATTCGAGAAATTGCAGCATGCGTTGAGATGCTGTGGAGAGGCGAGACAAAGCTCCGAGGCGTGCTTCCGCGAGACATGCCGAAAATCTTGGTCGTGACCGATCTTTTCTTGTCCTGGTGGTTTTGCCGTAACTACTTTAAAGGACCTAAAGCACCTAAAGAGGAGCTGGCAGAGTTGAAGCTCTGCATCGAAGACGGCTCAGCTGAGATGACAACTTTTTACGACTACGTGCATACCGTCATGGGGACAACCTTTAGCGAAGAAGCTCTACAGCACCCTGAACGACCATCACAGGCAAAGATTATCGAAATTTCAGACGATGATGACTGACGTGAGTCAATGCCCATGCTTGTTGGACACCGTCGTGAACGGCGCGTCCTGCAAGCGTGGTTTGTCATACGAGCTGATCTAGGCACCATGCGGAGGTGCGCTAGAAAAAAACCATTGCGGCATATGGATGCCGAACAAGAGAATAGCAAGTCATTTACGGCACATGTCGGCAATGTCTTTCGAATGTTGGGTTGTGCGTTACGAAGAGCTTACATTTTCCCCTAGTCGACGACCCAAGCTACTTGGGGGTAGTCTATGGACCCTCAAAACACAAGCTCCTTGGCCACAGAAAGATTAGCAGGTGGCAAGGCACAGTGTGGGGCCGGAGGCTTAGAAAATGCGCCGTGTTACCCCAAGGATCATTACTGTTCGTGTGTTACAGAAAAGAAGGAGCGGTTTCGTCCGTGGGCTCTGGTGGGTTAGTCCTAATTGCTAGGTACAGGTCAGCACCCACCAAACAATTTGGTAAGTAGCTATACGACACCATTAATATAAAACCAACTTTGACAATGTCTGTAGTATTACGGCGCGTGAACAAGTGAAAGTTCACTCAGGTTTTCTAGAACAGATGGTGCTGTTCAATCCAACTGTGAATACCCCGCTTATGAAGGATGTAGAGGCCTGGTCTCTAAAAAGCAAGTAACGAGTGGCGGAAAGGCGGGGTGCGTTAGTATCGCGACCTGAAGACGTTCACCGAGGTAGGCACAAAAGTCGATTGGCTTACATGCTACCAGTATATGTGTCGTGTGCTCTTTACGGATGTCGTGGTGATGTTCGGGTTGGACGTCTGACAGGTTGTGTACCACACATTTCCAACACCACTCCCTGCACCCCTCACGCATGGAAGCCTTCGACAAGATATATGATCTTGGTTGGCAGATACAAAGCCATGTTTTCAGCTGTTTGAAAAGTCTTTGACATACCTAGGTACTGTGAAGAATACCAGGGTCAAACATGGTACGGACAAGAATCCCCTCAACTCTTCTGTGAATTACGCTTGGAATCCTTCAAAGCCACGGGATTCGGATGATGCGCTTACTCTCCGCGCGAGTAACGCTTATTGTCCTGGCGCTGCTGAGTAGTATATATGAGCCAATCATGACGACTCCATTTGATGCCGACGCCGGCAAACTAGGGTCCGCGCTATTACCGCATGTACCTTCTGGACTTGTGTTCGAACACATTTTCCAAACCATCCTTCTCCCATATCTCCTACCCCGACACCCAGCTTGTTTCTAGTATCCTGATTTCACACACGCTTCGAATTCCACACGCCGTGCAAGTGACCGACTATCCCACCATGGAGGCTCTTTTGCGCCAATCCAAGTCCATGTGCCCGTTTCTTCACAAGACGTCACCCGCCACTCTCCGATCGCTTTCTACGACCACCGCTGCTGCGCGTCCTGAAGTGTCGCCGGGGGCTGGCAGCATGTCGAACCTCCAAGTTCTCGCCCGCCGATGCCCAATCATGGGCAAGGCGCTTGCTGTACAAAACACACGCAATGGCAACAACGCTTTGGCAGGCGCTTTCGGCGGTGTGCGTGCGTACCACTCACGCGTAAACCGAGCCCGTTTGCATACGACGGCATCCAAGGAAGCGAAGGTCATCGATATGCAGAGCCTGGGAGGCGACAAGAGTACGAGAGGTTGCGCTGCATTGCGATTTCAGACACTGACTACCTGCAGGCTCCGATCCAAAGCCTGCCTCATCTGCCCCGAGGGCTAGGGGCTTCGATTACGAAGGCTTCTACAAAAACGAACTGGATAAAAAACACAAGGACAAGTCTTACCGATACTTCAACAACATCAATCGTTTGGCCAAAGAATTTCCCCGCGCCCACAAGGAGTCGGTTGAGGACAAGGTGACGGTTTGGTGCTCCAACGACTACCTCGGCATGGGCCGCAACCCGCAGGTGCTCAAGTCCATGCACGAGACCTTGGACAACTACGGGGCTGGCGCCGGAGGCACTAGAAACATCTCCGGACATAATCAGCACGCAGTAGCACTGGAAGATACTATCGCGAAGCTTCACTCCAAGGAGGCTGCCCTCGTATTCTCCTCGTGTTATGTGGCCAACGATGCAACACTTGCAACGCTCGGCAGTAAACTGCCCAATTGCGTCATTCTCTCCGACAGCCTGAACCACGCCTCGATGATCCAGGGTATTCGTCACTCTGGCGCGAAGAAAATCGTCTTCAAGCACAACGATGTCGCAGATCTCGAGGCCAAGCTACAATCGATTCCGGCAGAGTACCCCAAGATCATTGCCTTTGAGAGTGTATATAGCATGTGCGGCTCAATCGGTCCTATCGAACAGATCTGTGACCTCGCTGAGAAGTACGGGGCCATTACCTTTTTGGATGAAGTTCACGCTGTAGGCATGTACGGACCACATGGCGCTGGTGTGGCCGAGCACCTCGATTATGAAGCCCACAAGGCGGGCCGACCCCAGGGCACCATCCAGGACCGCGTAGACATCATCACTGGCACTCTCGGAAAGGCATATGGTTGTGTTGGTGGCTACATTGCGGGCTCTACCAAGCTGGTTGATACCATCAGATCTCTGGCTCCCGGTTTCATCTTCACTACATCACTCCCACCTGCCACTATGGCTGGTGCCAAAACTGCCATTGAGTACCAGGTCAACTACCTGGGCGACAGGCGCCTTCAACAGCTGCACACTCGTGCGGTGAAGGATGCTTTGAATGAAAAAGACATACCCGTGATGCCCAACCCCAGTCACATAGTGCCTGTCCTTGTTGGAAACGCCGAGGTAGCCAAGAAGGCGTCTGACCTTCTCCTAGAAGACTGGGGCATCTACGTCCAAGCCATTAACTACCCCACTGTTCCTGTAGGCCAGGAGCGTCTCCGTATCACACCTACACCTGGCCACATCCGTGAGTACCGCGACCACTTGGTCGAAGCTGTCGACGCCGTTTGGACGCAGCTGGGCATTAAGCGTACCAGTGAGTGGGCTGCCGAGGGCGGCTTCATTGGCGTTGGCGAAGCTGGAAAAGCGGAAGAAGCACCCCTTTGGACAGACGAGCAGCTTGGGCTGAAAGAAGTGATCAATGAGATGAAGGCAGGCCAAGGCGCAACTGGCGTGCTCGAGGCCATTCTGGAGAATGAGCGCAAGGCCACGGCCCAGGCTGTTGCCGCCGCCTAAACAGACTTACAAAGTGTGCATGTTACTGGTGTGAAGGGTCTGGTCGCTCCTTTATTCTTAAGACCTATTTATGTAGCTTGATAAAGCGTGCAATAGCGCAGCGAATTCATCCATTGTTCCTGCCCAACAGGTGGTGACGGATAGCATTGTATTGTGACGTAGACGTCATTGAATGTAGACATGTTGTATGGTACCCTATTTCGCGTGTTATTGTAGTCAGATCGTATCCAGTGAAAGTGAAGGTGTGTGATGAATGAAAGCTGCCGGTTCGGGCCATGGACGCTAACTAGGACGTTAGTCCGAGCTCCTTCCTTGCACTGAGCCTCATCACTGGAACTTCGAGACACGCTCGCATCACCAACCTGCGCTTGCCCGCAACGCGAATCTCCCCATTCCGTACGGCCCGCGCCATCTAATCGCAGTCGTTGCCAGTCGCTCACTGTCTACTGACTGCATACGGCGACCAAACACGACTAACACCCTAAAGTAATCTTTGAGCAGCAACCGCATGCTCCCCACACATTCTATCAACCTCAAACTCGCGCCGGTCTCTCTGTCATAAGAGGGTACCATTATGGCTCCCCCGCCTAAGCGAAAGCGAAACGATCGCACCTACTCACAAGAAGACGAGCGCAATGGACGGCCGTCACCGCATCGCCCGCAAAGCCTAGGACTCGCGCATCAGCAGCAAAACAACAGCCCGCGCGGCGGCGGTGGTGGAGGCGGCAGGCGGCAGAGCAGAAACAGCGGACGCGGCGGCACATCCAGCGTACCTCAGAGTCCCAGCATGTCACATGCATCCCCGACAGCCATGTCTCCACCTGCAAACCCGTTCCCGACGACAAGGCCATCGCAACCAGCACCTTCTGCGCCCGCGCCCGCGCCTGTGACCGCGCCGCCAACCACACGACCCTCGACACCGTCTTCACCGCGCGACGTCCCCGGGAGCAATGAGTTTTTGACACCGGACCGCGTCGCTCACTGGAATGGCGAAGCACGCGACGCTGTAGTGAAGGCTGCCATATCCGCCCAGGCAGACGGCGATGCGCTCACGCTTGCAGTCATCTTTCACGAGATTATCGAAGCGTCCATGCACTGCCTATTGGATGCTGGCGAGTTGGGTTCGATAGTCCGCGACATCGTCTCTGCTCCTTCAAACGAGCTAGTCGACCCCGTATCGACGTTCCTCGACACGCTGGGTTCGCTCACACAAGATGAGGGCAAACAAGCTCTTGTACGTCAGATGCTTGTTGCGACCGACATCGACTTGTCGCGCATGCGCTCCGAGCTGGAAAATGATCTCCTCAAGTCCCTGGGCCTAGTCCGCGACAGCTTCAGCAAGATGGCAGTCCGGAAGGCAACGCATGCTCTGTATCGACAGTCCAACTACAACCTGCTGCGCGAAGAGAGCGAAGGCTACTCCAAGCTCATGACTGAGTACTTTACCACAGTAAACAGCGAACCGCCTACACAGGAAGTCGTGAGCGAGACTTACCAGCGAGTGAACGCACTTATCGGCGCATTCGATCTGGACATTGGCAGAGTCCTCGATGTGACACTGGATGTGTTTGCCAGCCTTCTGGTCAAGCACGGCAAGTTCTTCGTGAAAATGCTACGGACGAGCGCCTGGTGGCCTCAATTACGCGGCTTTGACGGCATTGAGTGGGAAGAACCCGAGGTACCGACCCTGCCCCAGTGGGCACAACCAGACTCGAAGCAATGGTACTATTCCGAAGAAGAGAAGGAAGAGCAACTACGCTTACGGGAATCGCGAGATCGGAAATTCTGGCAACGAGTCGGCGAGCTGGGTGACCGGGCTGGCATACAGGCCTTTTTCGAGCTTGGCGCACGTCGCATCACTACCAACAAACGACAACCGGACCAGACACTACCTGCTGAGGGTGCTCCGCTATCCAAACAACAGGCTGCTCGGAAGTGGGCTGATGAATGGATGGAGCAGACCAAGACCCTGCCCCCTCCCGGCAACGACATCGCAGCTCAACTGCTTGGCTTCAAGCTTCAGTTTTATGCCTCAGACAGTCGCGATGCTGGGGACAACCTCCCCGAGAACCTCATGTATCTGATCGCACTCTTGATCAAGATTGGTTTCATCTCCATCCTAGATCTATATCCACATCTATATCCATTAGAGGAGGATATGCCTGCGCACAAGGAGAAACTCTTCAAAGCCAAGAGGCAAAAGGAGGAACAGGAAGGAGGAGCGGTTCTCAATGCGCTTACCATGGCTGGTGCATTGCCTGACGATACACCCGGCCAACCAGCTGTTTCCCGCCTCAGGGATGCCGAGAGTAGACCAAAGTCGGACAGCGGGCGAAATACGCCTGCTAAACCCGACGAGTCCGGCGACAAGACCAAGGATTTACCTGAAGCTAGAGACCAAAAGTACACGCTGTTGAAGAGTCTGCTATGTATTGGTGCACTCCCCGAAGCATTGTTCATTCTTGGACGTCATCCGTGGTTTCTCGAAGTGTACCCTGAGCTGCTGGACCTCATCTTCCGACTCGCACACCACTCTTTGAGCAAGGTCTACGAAGCCACCAAACCCACTTCGGCTGAGCGTCCTTTTATAGCTACCAAGGGAGCCGGTGTCCGCGGACCCTCAAAACCAACCGACTTCGTCCCCCGACGGCCTCTTCGATGGGCGAAAGCAGATACAAAGGATATGGATGGTGGAATCGACTACAAGTTCTATTGGGAGGATTGGGTAGACAATGTTCCCGTATGCCAAGAGGTGGACGACGTAATGAAGCTCTGCTCCACTCTTCTAGGCTTGGTAGGGGCAGAGTGTGGCAAGGATGTCGTGCTCCTGACCAAAATTGTACGCATTGGCAAAAAGAGCTTGGCTGACGATCCCTCGGACGCAAATCGAAAGCGATGGATCAACTTTTCGACAACCTTTATAGCACCCGCCATCACCTTCACTGGTCGGAATCCTGCCGTCATCAATGAAGTGTGGGATCTATTTAAGAGTTTCGACACCGCAACCCGATATACCATCTACCAGCAGTGGTTCAGCGGAATGCTCAAACCAGCGGTTAAGACGGCTTTTCAGAAAATCCAGGTCGAGACCAGGCAGACGCTGAGCCGAATTTCTGCAACTAATACCAAGGATTACGGCCGTAAAATTGCAAAGATCTCACACGCCAGCCCCGGGATAGTCTTTGAGAGAACGGTCAAACAACTCGTCAATTATCCCAACATGATCAACGTCTTGGTGGAGTGCAGTCGATACCTTACCCTGCTTGGATACGACGTCTTGACATGGACCTTGGTTACTTACCTTCGGAACCCTAACAAAGGCTCACAACAAGACGACGGTATGCTTTCTGCGCCATGGCTCAAGAACATTGCCACCTTTGTTGGTAGAGTCTACGCAGAATACCGCCTGATGGACGCAACACCAGTCCTGCAACTGATCGCGCATCAACTTCTGTGCTCAGAAGGCGAGCTTTATATGCTGGATGTCCTTGAGCAGATGGTCAAGTCCATGGGTGGTATCAGCTTCAGTGGGTCTGTGTCTGAGTCCATGAACCTGGCGCTCAGTGGCGGACCTCAACTCCGCACCTTTATCCTGTCTCATCGTCTGGCCGACGATCGTCACAAAGCTGGCGTACCAGCAAGACGTCTTATCAAGTGGCTAAAAGAGACGGGCCTGGGTCCTCAGATACTAATCGCCCTGGCACAACACGTTGAGGCTTATGTTCACCGTGAAGACCAACAGGAAGTGCCCGACAAGCCTGTGCTCTTCAACGTTGACAAGCTACGCTCCAACCTGCTTCACTTTTTGGAACTTCTTCGCGCGTACATCTCTGTGGATGAATTTGACACCATCTTTCCTTCGCTGATCGAAATGATGGCGGAGTTCCACGTTGAACCGGATGTCGCCTTCACCATTGCTCGTGCGAGCATAGCAACCAAAGCTAGCGCATTTCGAGCTGCGCAGCGCACGAAGCTCATTACCGACAATGAGACGAACGGCGACACATCCATGAGTGGTGTTGGGAACTCGTCACTTACGAATGGAACCGGCGCCACGGATGCCAAGACCACGAAAGCTGCTGAAGATGTGGAGATGAAAGACTCGGCCCCATCTACAGATGCTGTTATAGGGGAAGGAGATGCAGCCGCATCTACCGTCGCGCGAGAGGAAAAGCCCGATGTCCCCAACCTTGAGATCGAGAAACTGGCGACCCAACTCAAACAGCACATGCCTGACACCTTCGGCCAGCATCCGTGCCTGTCTTTCTACATCACTTTCTGGCAATTATATCTACGCGATGTCGACATTGACGGAATCAACCAACAATACAAGGAGACCATCGCATACCTTGAGCGGCGAATTCCAGCTCCTCCGCCCGAGCGACGTGGAGGTTACAGACCTAACGTGCCTAAACCTGATACAGCTGAAGTTCGCAACGCCAAAGCCGATATTGCTCAACTTCGTGAAGAACAGCAAGTCTTCATCACAGCGAAAGCTGCCACGCAAGACAGCTTACGAGCTGAACTTGGACGATGGTTTGACGGCGTTCCTATGATCGGACCACAGTGCGACGCCTTGCACAATGCCTTGCTTCAAGACTGCTTTATTCCTCGCAGCCGCATGTCACTGGAAGATGCGCAATATGCGTCTTCCATGCTCATGTTTATGCACAGCTCAGGAGTACCTGGATTCCGCATGAGCAGACTACTAGACGTTCTCTTCAATTCCAACAAGCTTATGGCTATGATAAGTATGTTCACAGAAGGGGAGGCTTCGTCCTTTGGCAGATTCCTGAGCGATATACTGCGCGAACTGCAAATCTGGCACGCCAACAAGAATGACGCTTACGTGAAGAACGCACATGGTCCAGAACAGAACCTGCCCGGCTTTGGAAGAAGCTACAACACAGAGCGGAACGCGACCACGTTCTTCCCTTACGAGCAGTTCTGTATGGTCTTGTTCAAGTGGCACAAAGCCCTAACAACCGCGCTCAAGGCATGCTTGGAGAGTGGCAGTTATATGCAGATGCGCAACGCTATCAATGTTTTGCATGCTCTGGGCGGTACCTTCCCCAAGGTCGTAACTCTAGGCACGGAGCTCAAACAGACAATTCAGGCTTTGGAGGAGACCGAGGAGAGAGAGGATCTCAAGAAGGCACTGCAATCTATACTAGGACCAGTCACGAAAGGGGAGAAGTCATGGCTAGAAGAGCATGTATTCCGCAACGTAAGTTGATCGATTCCACTGGACACAGCAACATATTAATCCGCCATAGACAACGGCGCCACCACCTGCGCCCGGAAGCACGACCAATGCAAGCGATAAAGCTGCTCCAGAGAAGGGCAAGACGCCGCAGCCGCACGATTCAAAACCCAATGCGACTGCACTGACCTCTAATCCGAAATCTGAACCGTAAGTGACCCAGACCCGACGACACTTTGAACAGGAAACTGATCGGTACCTTCCAGTAATGGGACCCAGCGTACTCCGGCACGAGACGATAACGGGTCGAAGCGCGGTGTTCCTAATCCTGCAACCCCTGTTCCTCTAAGAGATAGAGAACCCGTCCAGTCTTCAAGACTTTCTGAAGCTAGGCCATCGACTCCCTCACAGCAGGAGAATGGTGTCGGTAGATCCACGTCCAAACCAGGCCCACCGATGCATCCGTCTTCTGTGCCACCACGCCCGGATAGTAGAAACACACCAACCCAGCCCACTTCAGTCGGCAGGCCATCGCACGCTCTACCGTCGCGACCGGACACGCAACCGTCAAGAACGCGACAGCCCGAGCGACCTCTTACTGAGCGACCTCTTACTGAGCGACCTCTCGAAGGTGGACACAGTCGCTATGATAATAGAGGTCACCCGGCCGAGTATGGGCGACTAGATCGTTCCGGAGATCCTGCACGCCAGCGTGAAGCATCGCCCGGCCGACGTGCGCGACTGCCTGGTGGCAGAACTCCTGAAAGGATGCCTGCAGGTGCCGATCACCGCGAATGGTCTGGAAGAGAAAGGGATTATGAAGATCGCGCTCTACGACCAATGCCGCGGGACACGCGAGCACCGCCAGTACGACCACCACCTACTTGGGACCCACGTGACGCTAGAGACCCGCGTGACTCCAGGGACCCACGAGATCTCAGGGACCAACGCGAACGTTCTGAGCCTCGAGGCCATGCTCCGCTTCCGATAATGGACGCCCGGCGCATGCCGTCCAACTCATCGCTGGCCAATGAATATCGGCGAGATGGACCGCCACCGAACGCTTCTTATGGCTCAGAACAAAGCGACAGACATTCGCGAGCACCTCCAGCGCCAATTCCAGCCAAGGAAGAACCTACAGTCAACCCTGCACGCGCTGCGTTGATCAATCAAGTCGAGCATGGGAGACATGAACCGCCAAGGTCTGACCGTGACAACCGTCGTGAGAGAGAACCTCGTCTGAACTCGCCTCGTCATGGCGAGGATAGGCGTGGTGAGGATCGTCGAGTTGATGAGCGCCCACCTAGTTATCATGGGCGAAGTGATGTGCCACGTGAAGTTCGAGACGAGCGCCCCATCCCTCCATCTGGAAACCGAGACCGTCGGGAGGAACCAGCAGCAAGCGCACCTACAGGACCCCGCAGTGGACGCAATGAATCTTCATCTTCTCGCGCATCCCGGGAGATGTTCCAACCCGCATCCGGTCCACGGTCATCCGGTCACCAGGTTCAGGATCCCAACTACGGGCGATTGAATCAGCCTTCTGAGCCGGCACCACCATCCGGCCCACGTAGCGATAGGCCGCATTCACAACCTCAGCCTCCTACACCCACTGCACCTACCGGGCCCGCAGCCTCATTACCCGCAGGTATCCATCCTAGCAGGCTGGTGAACATTGAGGGCAGACCACCCAGCGGACCACCACTCCAGACGAATATACCCAATGCTCCAAGCGGCCCGCGGGGCTCTAACAGGGCACCTCAAGGTCCTATTCCATCTTCTCCTGGTGGTCGGGGGCCACCCACAGGACCTGCCGCTGCCGACCGTGGATCAAGGAACGCTGGGAACCCTCTACGAGCTATCAATAATGTCTTGACTGGGAATGCGCCCGCCGACCGATCAAGTGAGCGCATTGCACCTCCTCCCAACCCTCCGGTGCGCGGTCGGGGTGCAAGCCGAGCTAACGGTCCTGTGGAAGGCTCAGGCGGTATGCCAAGCCCCATGCCACCGCCAGCGCACGCATCAACACCCAACCGTGTTGAAAACCAACATCCTAGGAGCAGTCGAAACGACGATATCCCAAGCAGGCCAGATGGCATCCCCTTGGAGGAAGGTCGCTCCGAGTCGCGCAGCCATAGGGACAGCAGACGCAGCGAGCGGTCAGGACGTGAGCGATCGTCACCTGAACGATCTGAGCGCCGCCCAGACGAGCGAAGCAGCCGCACTGCCCCTTCTGATCGGCCTGAGGGTGAACGCGGAGGAAGAGAAAAGCGCGGTGGCGATAGGGAAACCAGCCGGCGAGACCGTGAACGAGAAGGCGAATCGCGCTCGGCGCGTGAACCACGGGAGAGCAGTAGACGCGAACGCGGTACGCGAGAGGATGGTGGACGGACCTCTGGCCGAGAAGACCGTGACAGGAGGAGTCGAGGCGGCGGTGGAAGCAGCGGTGTAGACGATGGTCGCAAACGTGGCCGCGATCCACAAGACCAGGCCCATGGCGATGTTAAGAGGAGGCGCTGATTGATCAACGGGTCTATGCACATGGATATGGTTGGCATACGGTCCCAAGCAAGCAAGAGTAGGAGGCGTTTTTTCAACTAACATCATCAAGAACGAAAGTAAACACACCTCCCAACCAGCCTTCTCTCGTCCGAAGATAATGACGTCTTCCTTTCAATTCTTTCCACTTTCTTATCTCCTTTTCTTGCTTTATCCTTTTAACAAATTTGTACGTCATGAATCATTCTTTCCCACCTCTTCCTTTCCATCGGAAAAGAATATGGGATTAAACCAGGGGTTGTTCTTGCATTGCGGATGGCGTTGGTGTTTTGTTCTTGTAATATCGCTGTTTTTGGCTGACTGGCCCTTGTTGGTCGAGAGACACAAGGGCAGAGAGGAGGATTTTTACGATACCCCCATCCCACCCTACGTCTCTCACTCCTTAGTGAGTGAGGAAAGAGAACCGACATGTTCGGTCTCTTGATGTTTTTCGTTTAGCGACGACACGACAACCAAAAAAAAAGTCTGGAATTAATTGAGATTGCATTTTTGGGAGTTTCGTGGGGTAGTAGGACATGGGGGTTTGGACTGTATTATTATTATGATGGGTGGGGATGGGTTGGTGAAGGTATCCTGCCTATAGTGTGGTATCGACGTGGTGAAATGCGAATGAGAAGGAGAATGGCGGAATGTATGTGTGACTCTGCTCTATTGACTGAACTCTCTTGTTTTGGACCTTCTCTCTTCGCTCACCGCTTTTATCCTATTATCTCGGCCCCATCTGCATCCAACATCTTCGCTATCTAATCCATTCACAAAATACGATGTTACCTGAACCGTACCATCAGACACAAGCCAACCGCAATCCAATGTCATTGAAAACCTCCGGGTCAACCATCTTATATATACCGCGATCATCAACTTGCGCGAAATCAAGCAAATACGATGATACCTAGCAACAGTTTAGCCGCCAAATCTCCCACTCTACTCCTACCAGGGTCAACACGAAAGCCAAGCCGCTTCTGCTCCCCGCTCCTCGGGTTCAAGACGTACATCGGCAGTTAACGCACACCGGATAACGCCCTTCCCTCTCCGCCAGAATCTGCAGCTTACGCCTACTTCCTTCCAACGTGCCGTTGTCAGATATCAGCCTATAACTAAACTATTAGGCATGTAAAGCAGACGCGGAAGGAGCGTTCCGAGGACGTGGTTCACCCGATGTGCGTTCTCACGACTGTGCCGCACGGTCGTAGATGTGGAGGATGCGTATCCCTGATTTTTAGTATGTGGTATGGGGGTTTTAATCTGTTAAGTGCAGGAGAGCCGAGAATATGTGTTGTACATGCAAGGTGTTGTGGGTATGGGTACGGGTATGGGTATTGGTATAAGAAGTTGGCTAGAGCTCCCATGCGTGGTGTGCGTTCCTGATGGGAGGGGAGCAAGAGAAGTGAGTATCAAGACTACAAGTATGAGCTTTTTGCGGTTTTTCGTTGGTGTTTTAACGGTGACGACGTATGTGTCTGCAATACACATTATAACACTACCACCTAAACCAACCTATGATTATGTTATCGTTGGGGGAGGTACATCAGGTCTTACCGTTGCAAACAGGTTGACTGAGAATGGGAAACGTGAGGTCCCATCCTCCCCCTTTACCATCCCATACACATCTAACCTACTCTCTAACAATCCAACAGACACCGTCCTAGTAATAGAATACGGCCCCCTCTCCCCTTCCCCTAGCATCCTCCTCCCCCACGACTCCCACATCTCCCACCCCTCTCGCCTCTACAACATAACCTCCGTCCCCAACCCCAGCCTCAACAACGCCACAACCCGCGTCTCGGTCAACGCCCTCGTCGGCGGCGGCAGTGCCGTAAATGGCATGACCTTTGACCGCGGCAGCGCCGCCGACTACGACGCGTGGACCGCCCTCGGCAACTCAAACTGGACCTTTAACTCGCTCCTCCCGTATTTCCGCAAAAGCGTAACATTCACGCCGCCCAGCGCGGCGGTTGCCGAAAAATATAATTACACATGGGATGTGGATGCTGCGTATGGTGAGAAGGGCGAGGTGCAGGTGAGTTTTCCGCCATACCAGTTTCCGGGGCAGCAGCCGGTGTGGGAAGCGTTCAAGGAGATGGGGGTTGAGAAGCCGAAAGAGGCAGCGGGAGGAAGGGCCATGGGCGCGATTATCATGCCCAGTGCGTTGGATCCAGTGAAAAGGACGAGGAGTTATGCTACGACGGTGCATTATGAACCGTATGCGCAGAGGAAGAATTATGTGTTGTTGACGGGGTGGCGAGGGATGGAGATTCTGTTCAAAGAAGGGGGTACGGACTTGGAGGTCGAAGGCGTGCAAGTCAAGAGTAGGGAGACAGGAGAGAGTGTTGTAGTGAGGGCGAGGAAGGAGGTCATTATTGCCACTGGAGCAATCTGGACACCGTGGCTACTCCAGCGATCCGGTCTTGGACCAAAGAGTATCCTGGAAAAGGCCGGTATACCACTAAAACAACACCTCCAAGGTGTAGGAGCCAACTACGCCGACCACGCCTTCGGTGGTGGCGTCTGGAATTACACCCTCAATCCCTTCACCCCGGCGCAACAAGACCTCCTCACAAACGCCACTTTCTACGCCCAAGCAGAGAAGGAATACAAAAATTCCCGCACCGGACCCCTTACAGTCGCCCGTGGGAACCAAGCCGCTTTCCTCCCTTTACGAACCGTAGACCCAGAGAATTGGGCAACCCTCGTCTCTGAAATCTCCTCACAGGACCCAACACCCTACCTCCCAGACTACTACGACAGCACCCTCCATGCGGGCTTCAAGGTGCTTCGGAACCTCACTGCTTCCTACCTCGCCCGTTTCGACGCCGCAACCTACGAATTTCCATTCTCCGCCGGCCCCCTAAGATTCGCAGTCTTGATGCGACCGCTTAGCCGAGGCACCGTGGGCATAATCACCACCGATCCCGCCAACCAGCCAGTCCTAGATTTCCGCACCTTGTCAAACCCCCTAGATGTCAAAACCGCCATTGCCGGTTTACGCTTCATGCGCCGCTTCCACGCCTTGCCCGCTTTCGCCCACGTGGGTGCCGTGGAAGTAGCACCGGGGTTAAACGTCACCAGTGACTCTGAACTAGAGGCTTATCTAAGAAGAGCTTTTACGCCTACGTTTGCGCATCCGTCGGGGACGGCGGCTATGTTACCGAGGGGGCTGGGGGGTGTGGTGGGGCCTGATTTGAGGGTGCATGGGGTAAAGGGGTTGAGCGTGGTGGATGCGAGTGTGATTCCGTGGTTGCCGGCCAGTCATATATGTACGACGGTTTATGCGGTGGCTGAGAATGCAGCGGATTTGATCAAGGGGAGGGCGGGGTGGGAATAGGGTGGTTTGTGTGTATAGTCTTTAATGTTGAGGTATTGTGGTTCGTCATGTGACTATGGACGTTTGTAGCTATGTAGTGAGGGACTGATGGTATGTGGCATAGGGAAGGAGCTATGTGAGATTGAGGAAGGCGCAATATGTGGCAGTGACTATGTGCCATGCCACGAGTCACCTGGATGCCTGCTCCACTTCAACATTCCCGAATCAAAGTATGAGTTTAGAAGAAAGGAAGAGGCGTAAACATGCAATTATAAGTGGAGTAGGGAGCAAGAAGTGAGAGTGAACTTTGAGTCAATCAGGTGACTCGTGTCTTTGGATTGGTTTTCCATAGACATGAATATACGCTGTTCAAGGATACACAGACTATATGTAAACACGAATCGAATGCATGACGTGTGGTATGTGATGATTACACGTGTACATGTAAATGGATTCTCAGATTTTAGCTCAAAACAGACATGTCCGTGGACGTGGTATCTCTACAAAAGATGAAACCTTTTACCGAAAAGCTAAATATTTTAAACGCCAGAAAATGCTATCCATCAACGCCAATAACGTGGACATTGTAAATCATGATCGTCGTTTGCCAATGCGACCGCCACTACGACCACCGGTAAAAGGCTTGAGGGCGCCCTTGCCACGCGAGGCAGGAAAAGAAACCTTGTTCTGGGGCTTGCGACGAAGTTGTTTGCGCGACTGACTCTTGTCCTTGTTCTTGCGCGAGTTCTTGGCCTCAGAGGAGGTGGTGGTGGCACCGTCGACGTCCATATCTACCAAGACACAGTTAGCCCTTGAGTCTTACTCAGCCAGTGCGGAGGAAGCGGGTCAAAGGCAAACTTGAGGTCGCCATTGTCGGTGAAGCCAACAATGTCGGAACACAGGCCCAAGTGGAAACACAGATTCCTGAGGTCACAGTCCTGTGCAGAGTCGAGATGGGTGTGGGAGGAATCGGACAGGGAGCGCGGTATTGGGGCAGTGAGAATAGACGAACCTTTGGGCAAGTCCTCCTCCTTGGATGCGTCGTCGGTGGTGTTGGCTGAGGGAGTTAGCAGGTGTGTGGATGAAGGGTATGCGATTGACATACTGTCTTGGGTGGTGTCCATTTGCGTCTTTTCAGGCTTGGGTTGCTGAATCGTCTCGAGAAGTTTGGCGTGCAGACGCTCAGCGCGAGCGGCTTCGACAGGGCCGAAGACTCGAGCGCGAAGCTTTGTGCGGTTCGCCTTTTTGCTACTTGCTCGTGCGCCTTTGGCCATTTTGGTGTCTTTGAATGAAATTTGGGGGTTTGTGGTGTTTTGGGGAGGATGTCGGAAAAATGTCGTGTAGTTGGGCCAAGCTCAGCGTTCGGCATAAGTGGGGAAAAGATGGAGGAATTTTGGTGGCGACAAAGCCGTGCCCGGCCCGTGCCCAAGTCGCGTTCTTCGCCTAGTGACGCTCGCTGAGGTTCGGAAACGCAGCTGGAGATGCGCTCGCCGCGAGAGCCGCCGGCAACGTCGACGGCGATATAACCCAAAGAAATCACTTCCAGGCGTTTGCTCCTACATCCGCTTTCCCGCACCTGCGCTGCGCTGCGCTGTGCTGTGTGCCGTCTATCGTCGCCGATATCTGGGGGCAGTCGCAACCGACGTCCAACGAGTCGACGACCAACGAGAAGCCTCTGGCACATATCTCCCCTTCACTGACTTAGTCACTCCCCCTCTACGTCGCTACAGAAGAGACGGTCCACGAAAACTGAGCCCCAAATGCCTTCGCGAGCAAGTCCTTCCCGGTAGCGCTTCACTCCCACCCTGCATCTGTGTCTGCACCTTTCCTCCACCTTAGCCAGCCCTCTCAACCGCGACGGCACCACCCACCATGGCCTCGAGTCTACAGCAAATGGCTGCTGATATATCCGAGCGCTCCAAGACGCTGATTAACAACGACCTGAAGAAGATCCTCAAGGAGGAGGGCAGCTCGCAGACAGGCAACAAGGCTGCATTGCAAGCTCGCGTCATAGGCCGTACGTGTTTCTGCTTCCCGTCCTGCTGCCGGGCGCGTGGCCGCCGGTACACCTGCTGATTCACCTTCACCAGTCATCTCCAATGCCTCGCCAAAAGCGACGCCGAGCAATTGCGACGCCTGCAATATCGTGTCCAACACCGTGGAGAAGCGCCTCCGCCAGCCACCAGCAGCCCCGTAGCGCCTCCCTACACCCAGCCTGCCCCGCCCATTCCAAACGGCTACGGCATGGCCAACGGATACCAGGCCAACGGCGCTGCCCGGCCATACCTGCCATATGGGCGTGACCAGCCTTCAGTACCGCCTCGTATGTCTTCGTCATCTTGACCATGCAACCACCCCAATACTGACTGCGCTAGCGCCTATGACCTTTTTCAAAGACTCCCCATTCTTCGTTATCCGCGATCTGGTTCTAGGCGGTATGACTCTAGAAGCATCCCCAAGCCACCGCAACCATCTCACTAAATCCCTCAATCTCAACGAGGGCGTATGCAGGCGCTTAAAGGACGAGTCATCTATGCGACTATTGCTCTTCTCTGCCATCGAACAACCACTTGCTCCTTATACCCGTCTAGATATTTCTTTCCCATCCCAGATTGAGGTCAAGGTGAATGAAGAAGAAGTAAAGGCCAACTACAAAGGCTTGAAGAACAAACCGGGCTCCACGCGTCCAGTTGACATCACCGACTTTGTGCGTACAAAGATCGCCAATCAGCGCAATACTGTTCACATCACCTATGCCCTGACGCAAAAGGCACGTCCAGAGGTTTCCTATCCCCCCCTGATCCCTGACGCCTGACTCGAGCTGACTGAAACGTAGAAGTACAACCTGTTCATTTATCTAGTGCAAAAGTATTCAATCGACGAGTTGACGCAGCGTATCAAGCAACGCAATGTCATAACCAGACAGTCTGTGCTGAGCGAGAGTACGATCATGCTTCTTACTTGATAGCCAGCATGCTAACATGATTAGTGTTGAAAAAGGCAAACGACCCCGACATCGAAGTAGGCTCATCTGTCATGTCACTGAAGGATCCAATCTCCACTCTGAGAATCGTCACGCCATGCAGGTCGACTGTGTGCACACACAACCAATGCTTTGATGCCGACTCCTTCCTGCAACTCCAGGAGCAAGCGCCAACATGGACATGTCCGATATGTAACAAGACTATATCTTACGAGGCTCTAGCTGTCGATCAATATGTGGAAGAGATTTTGAACAAGGCCCGGAACACCGACCAAGTCACCATCAAGCCAAGTGGCGAGTGGTCGACCGAGAAAGAAGTGAAACCCAGACAGAACCACCACCATCACGACGACGACGACGACGATAGCGAAGATGACCTTGTTGAGATCCCCGATTACCGCATTCAAGCCATCAAAAGCGAAGCTGCCCCCACCCCTACCTCAATCACCACGCCCCCGCTGCCTTCTCGCGAAGCGTCTACAGCCCCCCGTTCCGGCCAAAAGAGAACAGCAGAGGTGGTGGACTTGACGCTGAGCGATGACGATGAGCCGCCTAGGCCTACAAAAAAGGTAGCGTACACTACCCCTAATAGCATTCCTGATACATCACGTCGGTATCAGCTGCCTCCTCTTGGGACCCACCCTGCCACAAATAGTCGTCCACTGCCACCAGCCTACCATAATGGGTCTGCCAGCGTGCGCTCTGATTATCCCCGGCCCCCGTCTACACCGCCAGCACGGAATGGGTACATGTCATATCGGCCAGCACAGCCTGCTTCACGAGCAGCTTATCCCGGACAGGGTAGCGCCTCATACCCTACATATATTGACTCACCCCCTTGATTTGCATGTTTCGCGCATTTTTTGTATCTTTCATTCCTGTATGACTAGCGTTCTTCAGCTAACACCGCCCCCCGGCTTTGCAGAGGAAATCCAGATTTTGACGGAAGTAGTATGACAAAAATCTGTCCAAACCCCTCCCCCACACACCTACTCGATGAGGAAACCCCGATGGACTATAACCTTTTGCGTATAAAGTCTCGTACGGCAAAAGATCATTCGAAAGTGGAGTTTTCTCGCACCCTACAACATGTTTGCTTCTTCTTTCGTCTTCTTTTTCCGTTCGTTCGTGTAGTCTGATAATTTCGGAGATTTAGTGCGAGGCGTTTGGGCATGTGGGTGGTGTGTGGGAGCGATATATCATGATCAATCTATCTTGCTCATGGGACCGGCGTTATCATGGAGGTTTTGGGTGAGGGGGAAATTGATCGATACACACATACGTACGTAGCATGGTGCGTGCGTGAGTGCGCTCTCTTGTCGTGTAGCGTGTAGTGTGTAGCTATCGAGATGGTTGCTTTGCTTCTCCTGTGTGTGTGTTTGCGTGTAAGCGGACTCGTTCGATACAAACAAAGTGGATTTGGATGTGAATAGTGAAAGTAGGGAGCGGGGAGCGAAAAGAGAAAAGAGAAAATCGGGGGTTGGGGACATGTCGGGAGGGTCTCGTCGGCTGTAGTGGATGATTTGATGGCATTGGCGGTGGCGTAAAGGGCGCCAATCTCCCTCATCGCCTTGTTGTGGTCATCTTCTAGTGCCGCTATGCGGAATTCGTGCTGATGTATGATTTCGAGGGCCTCAGCCCGCTCACTCTCGCGCACCGCCAGTTGCCTCTGGATCTCGCCACACACGGTATCTTCGAGAAGCTCTTTGAGCTCTTTCCCGCTCATGGATACTTCTTTATTTTGTTAGAAATGACTATACAAAGATGAATAACCTTGAATGCGTACCTGGGCCTTGCTTTTCGACTTTTCGGGATGACGCCGCAAGGCTGATCGCGATGCCCATGGCCAAGCCGAACAGGAACAAGCCCATGTCAAACATGAAGGCCAGGAGTCCGACGAGCGGCTCGTACGTGCTTTGGTAGTATGCGTCCGTTTCGATATGATGCTGAATTGGTAACCTGTGTGTTGAGTAGTTGGTGATGTTGTTGGCTGAAGCTGGAAGAGGGTTTGGAGCTGGGTGCAGTTGCCTAGCAAACAGATGGTGATTTCCTATTCTGTCTCCAGTACAATACTAAGTATTGACATATTCAGCGTCACTCATTGGCTACTTCCAGATTCCATGACAATAAGTGTATGGAAATAGCGTCCATTGCAGGTGCAGAACACATAATAAGATAAGATAACGCGGTGAATGGGGATTGTTGCAATAATTCAATTATTCAAATATTCAGAGGACGATCAGAGAAGTCGACATGGAGATAGCTTCAAATATTCACCTGAGATAGGCCTACCGATCCATTCTAAACCCAAATACAAGTTGTTATCAGACATATGAACTCTAAGGAAATCTCCACGAGGTATTGCAATGCTTACACACAACAGCCGTTATATACTTGCACACGTAAAAAAAAACTGATACTCCATAAGTTAGTACCCATGAATGCGTCTTCTCTTTGACAAGACTGGGCATTATTACGATAAAGACTCAGTACTCTAACGAAATCATACAGTCAATGCGCGAGCTGCGATCGCGCTGAAAAAATAAAAAACCCATCCATGGTACAACCAAGAAGGACGCAAATAAGCAATATTACTATGCGAAAAAAAGGGAATCCAGTATTTCTAAGTAGGGGGGTGTGAAGTTCGTGATGGCTCGCGCTAATGCAGGTCGCGGGTCCCGGCCCTCACAGTCCCGACCGGAAATCGGGCTCGGAATCGGAACGTTCTGATCCTTTAACAAAGCAGTGAATGCTAATTGCGTTCTACGGTTTATAGGACAGTAAGTTATGAATACGTGTGAGCTTCTAGTTGTGGGGTATCTAAGATGATCGAAGGCTGGTGGCTACCAGAACCATGTCACGGTTATTTGCTGTATGCTTACAAGTATCGCTTCTAGCATCAAGACTCGCGACTGCTTGAAATTAAAATACGCTTCTAGGGTTCCGGGGCCTTTGCAGTGCTATGATGAAGACGGTGTTTCTGGATATGGAAGTTTTCAGCTGGTTCCCAAAGCACAAATGTATAATTCGGACAAGATTTCTGGTTCCCCAACGGATTTTTTGGTAGATCAGGTAACTTAAGCGGCACGTCTCCACTTTTTCTGGTACACGAGCAAGCATCTATACCATGGTACCATAGAGTACAAGATGAATATATATATAATATTATTCGCGCACATGGAAAGATACCATCTCCAACATCTTAGTCTTAGCTTTACCTCTCTAACAACGTTCTATCTATATCAACATGTCGATTTGTGTCTTCACCGGAGTACTTTTGTACACAATCTCTTGTGCAACTGCACACTATTTGCACCAGAAGAAAGAGAAAGCGGAAGTGAATTTGAAGGAGGGTATCAATGAGAAGCTGCTTCAGTAGCTCATACACGAAATGAGCTGGCAAAAAGTGTATGCTTCCTATCGGCCACCGCAGTACGGAACTTTATCTTTCCGTGAGTCTAAACCGTGGAATACGCATCTGAAGGGATAGGGCTTACAAGATATATCCGCGTCTAGAAAACAAAAAAGAGAAAGATAAGAAGCTGTCCAATGTCTCAGTCAACCCCGGAGTACGCACTCGTCAAAGAAATCGCGTTCTCCCGGCACGCACGCTCAACTTCAACGTAACGAATCGCGCCAACCTACCCATCGCCCAAACTTTGCATGGAACAGATCAAACCTGCGCCTCCTCACTCCCAATTTCTCATGCCAGCATAATCCCAACACCCTCATAACGCATCACTTGTCCCAAACGCCTATTCCAAAATCTTCGCGGATCTGCCCTAGGAACAAGCATGCTCCTCAGAGTCGCAGCGGTTGGATTGCTTGGTAAAATCACTGCAACAGAGAGGGTAGCGTTTGGAATGGCAGAGTGGGAAACGTAGTTATTCTAATGCCAGAGTAGCACTTTCTATGGGCCACATTAATGATACAATATGTGCAAATGGAATAAGCCCAAGAGTAGGCCTAGAGTGAATCATCGGCGAACTCTATACCCAGGTTCCTTGAGAGGAGTGATATACCTTATCGACGGCGTGTCAAACAGCCTCACTCCCTGTTGTAGATACCTGCTATACCGTGCAGCCGTGACGTCGGGATTCCTACGGTCCCTGGTGGCGTGTTTTCGAAGAAGCGGGATAGGTTTGATGTCCATCTTTGGTGACTTATAACGATGAGTGAGACGATGGATGATTCTCTTAGTAAGGACCGATATTGTCGGCTTTGCCGGTCTAAGAGTTTTGACAACACGAATAGTGGGAGGAGGAGATTGATTGACGATGAATTTGTAGGCTCGTAATCTCGTACGCGGTTTGCTATCGTATGCCAGACTGGGCGCAAGCGTTGAACTTGGGGTTACTTCTCTATATTGTGGTTGAGAAGTGGTTTCATAGGAAGTTGGGGTTTCGGCATTCTCACCTTGGGGCCTGGAAAGTCGCCCAGAGCTCGTAGAAGGCGGCGAAGACAGTTCGTTTGGGTGCTCGGTTTCAGAAGCCGGCTCTGAGCCTGAGGGATCAGCGCTTGAAGCAGATTCATGACTTGGGGTAGTATCCGGCTCAGCTGAATCGTGCGCTTCTGACAAAGCCTCGAGCTTGGTAGATGTCGATACCATCGCTTTCTTAGCTGCTTGTTTCTCTCGTTGAGCTGCCTTTTGGGCTGCTTTTTTCGCTTTATCCAACAGCTTCTGTTGCTTCTTAGCAGCTTTGGTTTCAGCCTTATCGGCGTCTCTCCGGGACTTGTGCATGCGACGTCGCAAAACCTCATCCTCCAGCCGTATAAAGGAAGCCTTGTATTCCGGCACAATGTGCTGTTCTGAACCAGCTGAACTTGTTGTGCTATTCGACTGAGGGGTGAACATAGCCTGGGATTGAAGAATGGGCGGATCGTTGGTGAGAATTGTAGTGTTGGTTTGGGGGGCGGGTTTGGGGTCCGATGGAGGTGGCACCTTTTCGCGCATGGTTGTGTAGATAGTGCCTGTTACAGCAACACCACCGGTAGGTCCTTCGATCCATACATCATAGATGGCACCGTTGAACAATGTCTTTTTCTTGAAGCCACATATGCGCATCTCCTCGTCACAGTAAAGCGGGGAGAGATTGCGATACTCGATAGACTCGACAACTTGCATTCCCTCCGTCTCCTTGGCCACGTGGTGGTTGAAGACTTGCAGGAGCAGTACCAAAGACAAGGGGCCATGGACTAACAAATTACGATGGCCTTCGACTTTGCGGGCATAGTCAGGATCGAGATGGATGCGGTGAGCATTGAAGGTGAGGGCGGAGAAGCGGAACAGAAGGGTACGGTTGGGGGTAAGTGTATGCGCAAAGTTACGTTCACCAGGAGCTGTAGACAGTCAGTGAGCGGTGGTCAGGCAGGATCAACAATACGCACGAGTGAGATACTTGACATGAGCATTTCGCGCCTCGGCTGCAGCGACCTTCTTGAAGAAGACGAGGTTGCGCTCCTCTTTCAACAAGGCATGACCCCAGCCCTCGTCTTTACGGATTTGTTCTGCAAAATACCCTTGGACTCTCTCTAGACCCGTCGCCCTTCCTAACGAGCCATGCTCTTCTGTGTAGCTTTTCGCCAAGTGGTCGACACGGGCGAAGCGGCGTTCGACTGTGACAAAGATTTTGGCAGCATCACCCTCTCCCCGCAGCTCGACCTTTTTGATGCATTCTGTGCCCAACATGGGTGTATCCAATACGAAGCCAAGGGACTTGTCGAAATAAGCATCAGCCTTCACCTGAAGAGAGCCGCCTGCCCACATGCGTCGCACCCAGGGACCACCGGGGCTCTGCAATGCGTCGGTTCCATCGGGAAGCAGCTCGTTTGTGGCTATGGCTGCGTTGAACCAGATCAAGTGATGGCCAACAGGTATAACAGGTTTTTTATATCCAGGTGTAATACACGCTTCCTGAGGCAAGAAGCCCATAAGGGTTTGGCTGAGCCGGAACTCGTGTTGGTTGGTAATGTGATCAGGAAAATGCTTCACGTCTCGCTGCAGCATTTCGGCGCGCAGTTCCTGGAACCACGCCGGTTCGTCTGGACTTGTCGACGTGTACCATCGCAGTGGAATGTGTCGCCATTTCTTGCGATATGGCAATGTCAAGCCAATGCGTCGAGTACATGGCGTCCGAAGCAACATTGGGGGAAACTTCTGTGAGGCGTCGTGCGCCGTCAAATTCCGCGGCTCATCTTCCAGTCTTGGCTGCCGACTCTTAGTTGGTGACGTAGCTCATGTGATCCTACATATATGTATGCCCTCTCTGAACAACATTGACCAAGTGCCTTTTGACACACCAGTTGCGAGAATCATGACATATGGCTCTTTTCTAGTCAGAAACCTAGACGGACTGTCAAGACGAGACATGGTTCACTTTTACAGCCTGCATGTTATCCGAGGCTGCACCCTTCGCTCGGACCCGCCTGCTAACAACAATGAGCCTAAGCCTCTTCACACCGACATGTAGACCAACATATCACACGATTGAACAGTAGCGGTAAACCTAATCGCACACGCTCATAATGCAGCTTCTGTAGTCACGAGACTTGGCATATGCGTCCCGGGTGTGATTCTTTCTGTTTGACTGCCCACGAGCGTCGCACCTTCTTCACATCAGCCTTCACCGTGTTCTGACCGACAACGTCGTCATGCACTAGCCAACGCCGTCGCTCCTTATTTAACTTGCTCGCAGTATGTGTGCTTCTTGTCAACCTTATTCGTTGTCGTTTCCTTGCTATCCATAGTGCGTTCGTCATGCTAAGCCACGCAAGCACACAGCAACCGCGACAGCAAAGTCAGCCCAACACGCACGAGGTGACCGTTTCCCTAGGACTTGGCAGTGATACCCCCTCAATCTTTGCTCATTACAATTCTTGGGTTCCAGCAGACCCCCCTAAGAGTCCCTGCGTCTAGGATAGCACTTGCACAGTCATGTCGAGCAAGATGGAGCTGCTAGAGTGCCCCATGTGTCCATTTACTGTCCTTCCAAAAGATGACTACATCCTCCAGCTGCACTTTGAGCAGGTGCATACCACCGACTCCCCTTTCATAATTAAAGACGATCCTGAACCGTTGCCACCTTCATTACCACCCAGGCCTTCCTCAAATCCGCAGCATGCCGAGGACACGACTTCCTCCGACGACTCTGACCATGAAGAAAGCTCCATGGTCTGTCCTAAAACAAACTGTGCCGAAGTTGTTCCCTTTTCCGACTTCAACGACCATCTCGATTACCACAACGCAGAAACTTTATCATTCGACGAGACCACCGGAAAGTATATTTCTCATCATTCATCCCACAATATGCACAGCTCCACATCTACTCGCCGGTCCCGTACGAGCCGCACCAAGGCTGCATCTGTTGAGCACAACCTGGACACAGACTCATCAGAAGCCCAGAAGGCAACCAAGAGCCATGAGCGCAAAGCGAAGAAACATTCCCACCGCCACAGGCGCGATACCGACGACAGTGAAAAGAGCACGATTGGCAGAAGCATCATGGGGTTCAACCCTTTCACAAAGTCAGACAAGACTGTCAAGCCACCAGTAAAGAGTGCTCGTCTTGGGGTCCGTACACCGTCCGTGTCTTGTTACCTTTGCTAATATTGCTAGAAATCCGAACTCGGACCTTATGCCTGGGAAAAACGTATGCCTAGGTGGCTGCACGATCAGCTTGATGCTGGTCCGAAGATCATCAACGTCAATCGGATCGGCCGAGACGGACGCCTTATCAAGCACGAGCAGGTGCAGAACGAGACGCCTGGTATCATACCTATCCTCGCTCAACTATCTGCTTTGGATCGTACTGTCAAGGACGCTTACTACTGTCACCCTTCCACACTCCACGTTGGCAAAACTCCAAACGAAGGTGGCTTCTGTGGTTACCGGAACATACACATGTTGCTTTCCTACATTCAGGGTGCGAAAGCTCAGGGATACGAAGAGTTTCCAGGAAGGCTTCCAAGCATCCTGAAGATGCAGAATCATATAGAAGATGCTTGGGATCACGGCATCAATCAGATTGGTCGCATCCAAACGGGTGGCATCCGGGATACCAGAAAATACATCGGCACGCCAGAGGTACAATTTTCTCTTTCCATTTGCTGCGAAGCTAACTTGATGTAGGCACAAGCTTTCTTCCTAAATGCAGAGATCAATTGTGCTGTCGAACAGTTCAGTGATAACAAAGAAACTGGCACACCTGCCCACGAAGCACTTCTCGCAGCTATGGAACGTTACTTTACCCGGGCAGCTGTCAATGATGGTTCCAATGTCCACAAAACCCTTTTGCCGCCCATATATCTTCAACAGCCAGGCCATTCAACCACCATCATCGGTTTTGAACGCCACTATGATGGCAATTGCAATCTTGTCGTCTTCGATCCCATGTATTCCACTAGCCCTGCTATGCATAAGCTGCTTGGCCGGAAGAACATCAAGAGTGCTCGACCGGAGGTTCTATACGCATATCGACGCGGCGCTGGCAAACTCAAAAAGCATGCTGCTTTTGAAATTCTTATGTGAGTCTTATGAACACCCATATCTTCAACGCTGATGAATGCAGGCTCACGGCAACTCCGCCTCTTTTCCCAGCCTGGGATGTATGAGCATCCACTCCCAGCCTGTTCTTCTGCATATAGATCGATACCCGGCACATTCCTTATCACATTGTCCCTATGCCACGCTTCAGCTTTCCTGCATTTAAACCATTGAGCAACTCTGATTACTTGTGCTGAACTTTCACCTGCTAGGTCCTTCGTCAATTTCCTGATTGTCGTTTCGTATACGTATTCTTCCGTGCTCGTACCCTCGGATACGATGTCTATCCAGAAGACGTTTTCCTGCAGACCTTCCCATGGCAGCAGTATGGCGGACTTTGGTCTTGCGACGACTCCAGATTTGCACGATCAGAACGGATGAATACCTTCACTGCTCTAGCTCTACGCCGTATCACCAGTGAAGGATCTTCGGTCGGCTCCAATAGCAGTAACTATTCCACAAGTCCCACAAGTGTCTTCACCAATAGCTCTTTCCAGCATATGCCCTCGGCCGAATATGACCGCTTGCCCTCATGGATAGGAGCCTTTGATGGGACTACAAATGGATTCCATAGCACGCCACAATGCACAGGTAGCGGTCCCGTTTTCAACATGGGCGCCCCAAATAACGCCTTGCCGCTGCCTAGTGCAACTAAACCGCATCTGTCGCTCCTGACGGATGTTGGGAGGAAATACCCAGGCTTCCCCACACCACTATCTCCTGCTATGAATGCGGAAGAACCATACCTCTCGCCATCTTATGGCCCCGGAAGCGGGCACATGACACCACGCGCTATAACCCCCGCGGGTCGCACTGCCACTCCCATGAGCATCGATGGTTCGGAAATGTGTGGGCCTTCACGGCGTTGCGAGTCCCACGGATACAGCCATTTTGCATCGCAGCTAGGCCTCATTGACAACATCGTCTCCAGAAAGCCACTACATAGCACACCCCGCACCCCGTCTGCATCATCTCGCAACATTACAGGCCTTGCGAGCCCTCCCACCAGCCCCTCTCATCACATGTCTCCACGTACTGCTATGCTGAACAAACTGGCTGTGAAGCATGGTCTCCCCGAACTCTCGCCCACATCTGTTACAGATCCAGGGCCCGGTCTTGACCATCCCAACTCCCGTAACATCAACGCATACCCTGCTTCACCACCTTATTCCATACGATCCTTCTCTTCCACCGCTCCACACTCGCCGCCAGCTCCATCTATCCACATCGCCAACGGCGTAGAGTCCGAAGCTACATCCCCCATCGATCCGTCAGGCACCATGCTCTTCTACACATCCAACCGCAGCGTCGACTCTGGTCTCCTTGGCGTTCCTCCCCTCTCTGAACCTCAAGTAGCCGAGTACCGCTTCTGGCGTCCCTGCGGCCGTCGCGTGTGCGGTTTTGGATGCGGTACCGCGAATGTAGGCGAGGCTGCTGCCGCCAAGCGACTTTTCCGCGATGTCGAAGAAGTCGTTCTTAAAGATGATGAACAGAGTGAGGATGGGAGTGTGGGTGCATATGGGTATGGTCTTGATGGTCAAGTTGAACAGAGCTCGAGTGAAGGGAGTGCGGAGCATGTTACGAGCACGTGGGCTGGTAGGCGTCTTGTTACCGATTGGAATCAGTTTTTGTCTGGGTGTGAGCGGGAGGGCGTTGCGCCGTTCTGAGGAACTGGTTTCTGAACCAAGGAAACGATGGCTTTGCACAGCGAGCAAGGATATTGCGTACGTTGGGTTCCTGATCGGATGATTGGATAGAAGGGGTTTTCGTCACTTCAGCTGTTGGGCTGATATATGGCGGCCTTTGGCTTCATTTCTTTTTAGACACGCTCATTAATTTGTGTTTTTGTCTTTTGTAGTCGGAATGCGTTGCTCTATTCTCTCACTCACCTAGGTGACATAATAGCGACAGTGCAGGTAAAACCCACTATTCCATTCCTAATAGATGTATCTAGCGCCTACAGTAGCTTTCGGATACTAGGGTGTCACGTATTTCATGTCACCTAGGTGCACTTGTGATGATCTCAAAATGCGCACTGATGGGGCAAAAGTCGAAAATCGCAAAGCAGACCCAACACTTGATACAAAAGAGGATATCATATTCTTTCAAGATACAATAATCTCAAAACGCCAACCCTATGCAATTGAATGCCTATGCTATATTACAAGGACCCCTTTCCCCTTCCCATTTTGCCCACGTCGTCTCAAACACTCAATCGCTATCACTGCCATAATCTACCAACAGCCCCGCCTTGGGCGCGGGCCGTTTGTTGCTACTCGACGCCGTAGCCGTGTACCCTTTCAGGGCCGCAAGCGTAGCACCAGACAAAATACCACTGTTTCCAGAATCCTGCTGTGGGGCAGCCTGTGCGGCATACGCATTCTGCTGTGCCGACGCCGCCTCCTCATGGCCCTGTTCAATCATCATGTGCTCCCCACCACCACCATTTTCAATCCTTTTCCTGTCCTCCCACTCTGCCTTTTCCTTTGCATACCACACATCGTCCGGTGCTTCGTATCCTTGCAAACCAAAACTGCCCTCCATCTTCCTCCTCTTCTTGCCCTCGGGGTCCCTGCCCTCAAGCTCTGCTACATACGCAGCCGGCAGCGCTTTTCTTATCGCCTCCGCGGCCTGCTCTTCTATACGCCGTGCCTCGCGCTTTGCCGCCTGTGGATTCGGGTCTACAGTTGCCCATCTCACGTTGAGAATCTCGCCGTGGTCAAACGCCTGGTGCGCCATCGCCTCCTTTGCAAACTGCGAGTTGGCTTCGTTGAGATACGTGACGAACGCCACACCACGTGCCGTCAGCACACGCGTGCGTTCAATCTCGCCCCATTCCTGCATGTGGCGCGCAACTACTTCTTCGATATCGTCAGTAGGGTGTATGCGGCCGATGTACAGGGTGCGGTTCTGGCGCTGAAAGGTACCTACACCACCCATGTCGTCTCTGTAATCAGCATGCTTGTCACGCCCAAAACAATCCACGTTGCTGGGGAAGATGTCTGTGACAGTGGGTAAACGGTGCAGGTACTCGCAGTCTACACCTTTCGGACACATGCCGCGTGCGAAGAAGAGGCAAAAGTAGGAGCCGGGTGTTTTATCCGCTTTGGTGTAGCCACTGTCTTTTGCAATGTTGCAGCGGCCAGGCGCCGCGGTTTGAGAGAGGTATTTGTCTTCGCGGTCGCCGCCAGACCATTTGTTGTACCAGACGTTGTAGATGTTTCCTGTTTGGGCGATTTCTTGCGGTTTGAGGGTTGCGGGGTCGACTTGGGGGCGCGCAGGCCGGCGCTTGCGGCGGATGATCTTTTTGACTTTTTTGCCGTCTGCGTTGGTGGTGATGATTGTTTGGTCTGTCGTGGGGACAAGGTCGGTTGACGTCGTGGTGGCTTCGAGGGATGTGTCGGGCGCGAGTGCAGGTTTGGCTTCCATGTCGAGCATCGCGGGAGAGGGTTTTACGTCAGCCATTGTTATGGTGTTGGTGTTGGTGTTGGAGTCAAGTTGAGAGAGTTCTGGTCGCGACGCAACTTTCGACATGCGACGGAGGCGCTAGCGCAGCTGGCCTGCCGATCACGCACGTGACAGCGTGGTTTCACTGAGATGTCGACTTCCCGTTAGACACCACCGATACATATAAACATACGCAAATACTGAACTTTGCATACAATCACCACCATTCCACACATAAAGAAGTCGTTCTCCAAACTCGGGAAGTCCATTGTCATTGTCTCATTTGCTAGTAGTACTACTCATCTTAATTGCCCCATCAATCTCCACCACCGCCCCGTTAACATACCTCGCCCCTTCCCCAAACAAAAACGCCACAACATCTGCTACTTCCTCGGGCGTTCCCAATCTTTCCAACGCATTCCCATTCCTCATCCTCTCTATCGCCTCCCCACCCTTGACAATACCCGCATTACTCGGCGTATCGATATATCCAGGCGCCACGCAATTCACCCTGATACCCCTAGGCCCCAGCTCCAGTGCCAACGACTTAGACATGCCAATCAGTCCGAACTTGGTAGTACAGTACACAGACTGTAGCGCAGAGCCACGGATACCCGAGATAGAGGAGACATTTACAATGGCAGCGCCGCGTTGGAGATGCGGGAGACAGGCGCGAGTGACAAGGAAGACGCCTTTGAGGTTTGTGTTTACGAGCTTATCCCAGTATTCGTCGGAGGTTTCCTCGAGTGGAATGCTGGTGGGGTTCACGCCGGCGCAATTGAAAACGTAGTCGAGCCTCCCGTATGTGTGTAATACTACTGATACAAAGCGTTGTACGTCTTCTTTGCTGCTCACGTCGACTCGCGAGGTGTGGCTCGGTGTGCTGCATGAGGCGGCCACGGCTTCGAGCTTTGAGGCGTCAAGGTCGCAGAGGGAGAGGGAAGCGCCGAGGGAGGAGAGTTTGAGGGCCGTTGCCCGGCTGGAGTATATGTTAGCTGAGTTTCTAGATTTCAAACGGTGAGAAGAAAGACATGGGATGTTGAATAGGTACAGTACCCAATACCGCTTGCTGCTCCTGTTATGAGCGCGACTTTGCCCTGGAATTCTTTCGCCATGTTGTTTTTGAAGTGCTGGTGCGGATGTATTGCAGTTTCAAGCAAAAGAACAGAAGTGGTTTACATCATGACGATGATTGTGATGCTTCTCTAGGGAAAGTGGGGTGAAGTGGGATGTCATATGCATGACTCGCGCGGCAGTCTTATCTCCGCTCTGGTCGCCATGATCAAGCCAAGTATATTCACGTTCGGTCTAGAGATGGTATAAAGTTTATGGTCCCCCTATGAATGTAGGTCGTGTATCCATACTGCCCATCCAATCGTCCATTTCGTGCCAGCCCAGATAACCCATCCGGAACACCATGCAATGCAGTCTTGAGCTGACAGAGTTCCAGCAGAGTCAAATAACACAAACAATGCATACAGAGTTCAGGGCAAGCGTGAAAGCAAAAGCACTCATGTTTCTTGTCGCTGCCTCTGCTTCTGCTGCTTCTGTACCTCTTCTGGTGTCGATCCTGTCTGTGGTGTCATGGCAGACCCTTCCTTAACGTTGGCCCGCGACCTTGATCCTCCCCTGCGTTTATTGTCTCGCTCGTTATCTGAGTCGGCCTCACCCTTCTTTCCATCATCGTTTCGTGGGTGGAGGTCGGTTCTTCCTTTCTTCTCATCATCCTTCTCCACCTTCTCCGGTGCTGAGTTTCCGTTTGGTCTATTGTCATGCTTTGCACTACCGCCATTATCACGTACTAGCCTTTGCACCTTGCGCACCAGATCATCCACCTTGAACGGCTTAGAGATGACATCGTCCATGCCAGCCTCGCGCATACTATTAGTCTGCGCTTCCCGTACGTTTGCTGAGACACCTAAGATATGGCTATATCCAGCCTTGCCCTCATCTTGTAGTACCCTGATCTCTTGTGTCGCGGCATTACCATCTTTGATAGGCATTTCCTGATCCATGAGTATACAGTCAAAGTAATTTCGATCGCCTGGGCCATTGTTTGCTTCCCCACGTTCAGCCACAGCATCGATGGCTTCTTGGCCGTTGTTCGCTATGAAAACCTCGAATCCACGAGATTGAAGTTGACGCCGCAACACCTTCTGATTGATCAGGTTATCTTCTACAAGAAGAAGTGTATATTTGTCTTCGGAGCGTTGATCGCTTTGTGATCTTGATATTTCCTTGGCGCCTTCTTCTTGTCGTGAAGTCTCCCCTCTCTTCAGATCCGGCAGTTTCCTCTCCATGTGTGGTTGATTTGAAGGGAGATTCTTAGTGGCCTCCTGGGTCTCTTTATAGCGTGCATCTTCATGCGATTGTGGATGCGACTCAGGTCGTTCTTCCACAGGCGGATCTTTGAGCGATGGATCGACATCATCCGTGTCTACTCCTCCATGACTGGACAAGTGTGTCCTCGCTTCAGGTCTTTCATTATTCCGCTCTTTAATGGGCAGGAGATTCGAATTGGCACGACTATAACCGGGACGGATCGGTTTCGAGCCATTCTCTGACGGACGGTTCGAGGAAGTCGAGCATTCAGAGTTGCTTCGGGATGGAATCGTTGGTCGATCATCGTCGTAACCTCCTGTCGCGCGACGGACCTTGAAGAAAAAGCCGAACGTGGAACCTTCACCTTCCTTGGAGCTCACACCTATGTCTCCCCCGTGTAAAGTACATACTGTTTCAAAGTCAGTTGGAGACTAGGTCAAGTGCACACACGGCAACTCACATTTGCGTGATATGAATAGTCCCAGCCCTGACCCGCCGTATCTTTCCTGGGTTTTCGGAGTCGCTTGCCTGTTGGACGGTCAGTTTCACGAGGCTCAATAAGCCACGTAGATGCCCTACCTAAAACGCTCAAACAACTTGGCTTGACCTTCCTTACTAATACCTATGCCAGTGTCTTTGACAGCAACCATCAAGTACATGGCGGCGCCAGCGCCCCACTCTGAGGTCATTGTTGAGTTGAGATGGAAGGCTTCTTTTTCCTCACTAAAGTAGATGACATTGGGAGGATAAGACGTGGGGCGCTTCACAGAAGCGCCCATGGAGACTGTAATCTTTCGTTCCCCGTTTTTCCTAGAGGTGAACTTTATGGCATTGGTTATGAGGTTGACCAGGACTACAAGGTGTTAGCGTGGGCTTTGGCCAAATGCAGAGAATCCTACCTTGCTTCATGCGATTGAGATCCGCGACAACATTGTCTACATTTTGCTCTTCAAACGAGACATCCATGGCATAATGAAAATCAATGTTCTTCGCCTTGAATTCAGAATGAAACACTCTGAGTGCTTGCGAAAACTCCCACTTAGGTCTTGTTTCTACAATACTTCAGCGAATGATGCAACGATGTTTGCGGAAACTTACGGCGAGGCACCAAGGATAACATCATGGAGTCGAGCTTGGAAAAGGATAGAATATCGTCTACAAGGGTGTTTTGATGCGAGACGCACAAGAGTATGGTATCGGCCGCGTCCAGAATATCGGCTACCTGGTCGCGGATGTCGTCATGGTCGATGGAAATCTCTTTGGTGACCTCCTTCACTTCTTCGGCCAAGTGCAAGACAGCAGAAAGTGGGTTACGAATTTCGTGTGAAACCATGTCTATAAACCTCTCCTGCTGTTCCTTGCGCTCCTTGGCCTCGTTTGCAGCTTTTTCTTGTGTCAGCTGGGCCTGCTTGATGTCGGTAATGTCGATGACGGCGCTGATATAGCCGGCATCGGCTTCTTCACTCAATGGCTTTAGCAGAAACAGCCGCCACTGCTCGCCCTGCCTCTCGGCGGGCTCCACAACGTCGCACCGAAACTCTATCTGCAGCTCTGTCCGGCTTTCGAATGCTTTGCGGTAGGCCGACATGACGTCTTCGTAGTCGTCGGGATGTATGCTTTCGGGCCAGGCGCGGAACTCATTGTTGCCCTTGTTGGTTGTGAGTTTGAAGAAGCCGTCGTTGACGAAGATGGCCTCGGCGTCTTTGTCGAGAATGGCTAGGCCGTTGGGCAATAGTTCGGCGAATCGCTGGAACATGTTGGTCTGCATCGAGTCGGCCTGCTCTGTCTTGGCGTGCTTGCCAGACTGGTGGCTCTGTCCATCTTTGGGTCGCCTTCCTTGATGCTGGCGTGAGAGTTCGTCCAAGCCTTCAATGGGCATGTAGTGGTCTACGTTTTGGTTTTCTAGGAGTTGGGCCAGCACACCCTGGCGCGTGCCGCTTTCGTCGAGGATTGTACTGAGGAGCAGTTGCATGCTCTTGTCCTCGGGTACGCTCTTGAGAAAATACCTGGCCGCTACACGCGTCAGTCTCGGCCTCATAGACTGCGAGGACATGGTTTGATGCTTACCTACCTTGACCGTTCGCCCTCGCAGCACTGTCTTCAGGGTGCCAAGTGCTTCATGATCGTAGCTGTCGCGCGCATTGGTGGCCTGGCCATCGAGCCCTCCCCGCGCTTTTTCCCAGGCCAAATTGTGGATTACTGTCAGGTCCTTGCCCCAGAAGATGGCGGCACAATGGGGCATGGGCAGCACGCATGTGTTGACAAGACATGTCAGAGCAGTGGGCCACGAGTCGCGTGTACCTATTGCCGTCTTCGCCCTGGCCACTGTCAGTATTGGCGCACAATGAGGGGCGCAAGCTGAGTTGGCGCAGGCTCACCAGTCTTTGCGGTTCAGATTCTCCTCATTAAGGTCGAATATGGGAAGCCCCGTCGCCGAGAGTTTGTCGAGGTTCTCCATGGCGCTGGTGCAATGCGCTCGGCGTGTCTTACAACGAGAATAGCGGGTGCGAAGAAGCCTTCTCAGAGAATGGAGAGCCGCGTGACGTCATATCAGGGATCCAGACTCAACGAACACGACCCCACGAGCGCGTGCCTGACGGATACATGGTAAGAGGCAAACTGAGAAGCCGAGAACGTCGAGTTGCTGAGGGGACCATGGACGGGACATATGAGAACAAAGGCCCACGCGGTCTAGGCCGGTAGATCCCAATCCAATGCCCTCTTTCCAGCCGCCGTGCATGCTGGCAGGGCAGGAATCGCCTGCTTAGCTGGGCCTGATCGGCGATTGAGCGTGCTAACCTACTGTAGCCTTGGTGACGGTCAGAGCCTGCAGTGTAAGTGCACTGAGAACGGCACGTCATTGTGCCCGCTTATCCAAGTTGACATTTCTGTTTCTCTGGTCGCAACCACTTACCTTGGTAACCGAGTCATATTCGTATGCCTTCATTTTTGCCAGAGATTCCGCAAAGAGGCTAAACTTGGCCACGGAACGAGTAAACGAGCCCACAACCATCTTCGTCACGATGGTGGCGTCTCTACACCATGCACGATAGAGAGTATGCGTCGGCCTTGACGTGCCACGACTCGCTTACATTACCACGTAGGTACGACGTGTGACTTCATGGCCAACGTCATTCCATGCTAAAGTTTGAACACGATAGATACTCTTCAAATACTATACCTAGAAAGGCATTTCAGCCACGAGTTCAAATTCATAAGCTGAAATAATATGCACCATAATTCATCTGGGGTACATACATATTTACCGAAACTTACACCACGTACATACATGGGTCTGAGTCACGTGCAACGACCAGCAAGGAACCTTGGGAATCACAGGTCGCGATACCTCCCCAATTGCTTCCGATCTCGTCGCACCGGATAGCGCGGCAATGAAAGATAATGAACCCCCACATAGCCCTATAGTTGTATACAACAACCCCCTGCTCACCACGCCGTAGCCTCTCGGCGGATGCGCGGACTTCCGGACTTTGGCCTCCCACTTCTGCAGTGCCAACTTGACGTCTGCTCCCCTATCCATAAAACCTCAGGCGCATTTCGTCCCCCCTACGAATCTGCTTAGCTTCTGCCCTTTTGGCATCAGATGAAACACTCAATTGCATCTTGCGCGGTACTTCAACCTTTGCCCTGTAAACCTGTGCGCGAGAAGCTTCCGTGGCCGCGCCTAAATTGGACTGCACATTCCTCCTCCTCTCGTTCTGGTCTTCAATCTGCTTCTTCGCCCTCTCCAGGATCTCCATCGTCCGCATGTACCTACTTCCCTTCACCGGATTTCCGTTTCCTTTCGCCTTGATCCAAGCCTTCAGCATATCAAAAGCATACAAGTCAATCTCGAAAGCCGCACGACCATCTGTCTGGCCTGCCCTTGGAGTCCAGCCTTCCGTTCCCCACTTGATTTCTAATGGTGCGCCATTTCTGTGCGTAGAGTCGAAGTCACCAACGACGAAGCGTTGCGCTGCGATATTGACCAGAATGTTACACGGTTTGATGTCGCAGTGCACGAGACCTAGAGAGTGCATATGTGCCAGACCTTCCCAGATGTCCCGCATGCATTTCCGAACATCAAAATGGTGTTGATCTAGTACAAAGTCCCGTAAGTTTGTGTCGTAGCGATCAAACAGAAGACCAGTCACTTCAAAGTGCTGGTTATAATCGACTCCTTTGTAGCGACAAATATTAGGATGTGGATGCTTGCGTAAGATTTCACACGTCTCGATTTCGCGTACAACGATATCTTTGATACGGACTAAGCCACCGAAGAGCAAGTTGGCGTATCGCAACATGTTCGTCTCCTTCAAAAACAAGTGATCCCTGTTGCTAAATTTGGCACATGTCATCTCCGCTGCTTTGTACGTGGGTCGCACAATCTTCATATCGATCTTGCGAGGCGGTGCATCCCAGTAAAACGGGTTTGTGTCGGGCTTACGGCTACGAGTCATTTTCGTCTCCGCATACCAAACTCCATCAAGCCTAAGTGATCGGAAAGTGGCCCGCATTATGTCGCCATCAAGGAGAGAGTCTACCAACACCAGGTCATTCTTGATATATGATACCGCCCTGGCCTTACTTGAAGTTCCTTCGTTTCGTTGATACTGAGGCATGGCTGAAGTGCTCGGTCTGATCGAATAGACTTGGTGTGCTGCGAGTGTGTAGCATGTACATATACAGAAAGAGAGCTCTGCACTGCTACAAGAAAGGGGTGTGGTGAGAATCTGCCTGGCCACGAGATCATTGTTTGCTGGCGTGATGTTCTACCTTGCAAGTTGTGACAGACTGAGACTGTGGTCATCACTAGGTGACGTGGCAACCATAGCTCAGCAGCTTCTACGAAACTACAGCTCGAAGGAGTCTTACCTATCATCCCCCTAATCGTATCCGAAAGCCCCAATCGCTCCGGATGTGAATGTAACTTCCGAGTTTAGTCTGTGTGAAACGATCCAGCGTCGACACCTAGTAGAGGTGTTGCCTCCGCCCTGTAAAAAGCAATCAAGTTTGGTGGCCATTGGATGACGCGCAACCATATGAAGAGCGACGGATGGCGAATACATCTTCGGTTCGCATGTGATGAATGGAATACGGAAAAATGGTAACTATTGGATGGGACGATATAGGCATCGCCCAAGCAACTGGGAACTGACCGACGTTTGGTAGCAGTGGTAATACGAAGGACTGCGAAACTCCGTGAAGCCGGAAATTGTGCAAGATGGAAAGTTCCAAGCTCCGCGTACGTTAGTGTCTATAGTCGCGGCGCAAGGAAATTAGAACGTAGGCTTGACGGAGTACAAAGTAGCCATCCTTGACCTGGAAATTGTATGGTAAACAGACGACAGGTAGAAGGCATGAAAAGGTTTGGCATAAGCAGATGTTTATTTGTGTCATACGAGCCCTCGCTAAGGCGTGTTGGGAGTATATTAATACGTCGCGTGTTGTTGAGGACAAAGGGCGGGCATTGATAGCCCGACGCCAGTGCGTAAGTACCTATCAGCCCCACTTTAAAGCGGGTCATGGGTCTAAAATGTCGGCTCGACCCGAGTGGCACTGGCATTTCTCCATCTGGATTCCGGACAGCTCCCAGCCCGTGTCGCCAATAACTTGACTCGCGGTGGTTTGTACATCATTGGTATATTAACCCCTATCTCCACGTCTCTTGGTATATAGTCTGCATATCATATATGTACATACCCTGCCAATAGCCAGTCTTCACCAGCCAACTACAATGTCTCAACCTACGTCGCAATCAGCCGCCAAAATGCTCAACACGCTTCCCAAGCCCACGCGCGACCTACTTGAACTCGCAAGAGAAGAAAAGAGCTTTACGTTTAATCACTTCACGTGTGAACATGCCTGGGTGATAGGAAACATACTACGAAATTCGCTCCGAACCGCTGAATGCCCCGCCCTCATCCACATATCGATAGCGAATCAGACCCTCTTCCACTCCCCGAGCCTGCCTGGCATGATGCCCGATCACGAGAAGTGGGCGGAGAGAAAGCGGAATACCGTGCTGAGATGGGGCCACTCGACGTGGTTCGTGAGCTGTCAGTTTGATGGCGACTTCAAGAAGTTCACAGACCATCATGCCATGAGTGGAGATGAACGGTCAATGTATACACTTGAAGGAGGCGGATATCCTGTGTTTGTGAAGGGCGTCGAGGGTGTCGTCGGCACAATTGTTATAGTAGGCTTGGGTATGGATAGCCAACAGTCACATGGGGTTGTTATCAAGGCGGTCGAAGAGTACAAGGATCTGAGGGAGGGCTTCAGAAGCCCAATGAGAAGTACAACGATTAAATGACTAGAAGGCCTCGGGAACGGAGATGGACTTGGGCTGCACTTTGGCATTGAGGAGAGGCTTGGCACAAACGTGGAGAAGAAGAGCTGAACATGTGACATGACTATGCATCATGCTGAGGGTTATAATACAGACGAGGATGCCGGACTGCTGGCCTGCCGAAAACCAAAATACCCTCCTCCCGCATCGAACGCGATCGAGTAGCCGAACAGTAGACAGCGTCCGGTGTTGACAAAGGGAGGATGTTCTGAGAGCTGAGGGAAAACATAACTAGGCTCGATGGTGGAATTGTCACCGACAACGAACGAGTAGGACGTTGCCGGTGGATCTAGGGAGGGAAAGCCAATACTGAGTTTAGTGCCCGGTTTGACACGCTTCACCATCCTTGCATTGCCGTTCGGGTTGGGATTGGGGATGATGACAGTCGGCATCGACACGCCTTGCTCCGCTCGAATGTACATTTGTGCTATACCAGTATCAACGAGCATAGTACCACAGTTTCTTCCCTCGCCATTGATGCTGAAGCACATGCTTGCCATGGCCCAATCCCTTGGGTCTTCAGCGTGTGTTAAGCCTGGGTCTAAGGCGGCGAATGCAAAAGCTCGTGTGTTCTTCGGTGTCAGACCTATATGAGCGCCCTCTGCTGATACAATATATCCAGCCCGCATTGAGCTGTCAGAAACCCGCTCTCCGTTGATAGCATGGATGTTCAAGAATGGGTTGATTTTAGGTGACGCGTAGGGCATACCGTCCTTTGCGCCATTTCTCCCGAAGCCTACCCCCATATAGGTGATCTCAGAAGTGTCTCTCTCTACAGCCTTCTCTCCGTTGGGACCGGGTGGGCATTCGAATTGGTCCGTCTTTGGGTCATACCAAGGGCATTTCCAACTCTTGTCGACAATCAAGACTGGAACCGTCGCAGTCGCATAGGAGCCAGCCTCACCACCAAAGTGCATTGCAAGTCGGACCAATCGGCCCACGTAGAGGATCTTACTGCTGGTGAAGAAGTGGTGTGCTGGTGTGCCCACGGTTGCTGAGATGTTAGGGAGTATCGGGGCTCCTATCAGAGTGCCGGTAGAGCCAGTATCTACGGGCATCTTGATTTCGACGCCCTCAACTGTGCACATGACTTGCGGTACATGGTGGGTGTTAAACTTGCGAACGAACGGAAGGAAGATGGAGTCGGTGTACTGAGATAGATTGATGTTCGCGGAATGCATGGCATTTGAGTAGTGATAGAGGATGTAGAGGGTGAGGCTGGCAATGAGAACAATGAGGCGCACGAAGCGTGTTGAACGCTTCCGTCTGTTTGCTGGTGTTGAAGATGATGGAAGCGGCATTATACCCGGCAGCGATGGCGTTTTATATTCGTCGGTTTCCATAGCAGTTTAGAGATGCCGAGACCATCTGCACTGCCCGCTGGCAAGAGCCCGATATCTGCGCCAAGAATAGGTTCAATGTCGCGTGCACGTGAAGTAACAGTGTAGCATTCGATACGAATCACCAGGATTCAGATGCCGAGATGGCCGTAAAAAAAGCATCAGTGTAGTGCTCCGACGTCAGCGCTGCTCCCTGAAATGGCGGACCGTCCCCGCAGTATCCGGTCAGCTACCCCAGGCTTTGTGGTTCTGACTAACCCTCCGACACCACCTGCTACAACCAAGCTTCAACAGACTCGGATTGCTGCATGCTTGCCGGCCATGTCGACTAAGAAGCAGCCCCCGGCGATCATCACGTGTGTTGATGCAGGTTGTGGCCGGGGCAGCCTTAACTAGCTTCTGCGTTACCCACGCCTGCGGCTGACGGCAATCTCCCACCGCCAGAAAGGTAGTACAGGAGCAAACTCAAGAAGGGGGAAGTTGATGTTGAAAATGGCCTGTGGCGACTTGGGCGACCTAGTCTATCGACGTTAAAACGACATTTGATCCCGAATCGCATCGAAACCACGTTTGCGCTCCTATCACGCCTTGGACGCCTGACGAACGCGCAAGCAAAGGCAGAATATGTAGCCACCATGGCCCGCTCACCCTCACGATCCAGCGATGGTGCCGACTCGGCGCAGAGTCCTCGCGTCGAACCGCGACTCCTCAAAGCTGTCGAAGAAGCCAAGTACGACGAGACGGTTACTATCATCGAGCACGCAAAGGCGAAATCGCAAAATATCGACCACTTGTTGCGCATAGGCTTGATGCGCGCAGCCGAGCGCGGGCATGTAGCTATTGCCGAATACTTTCTGAACAGTGGCGCGAAGCCTGATGGCACACCAGATGGCAGGCTATCACCATTGCTCAAGGCAATCGAGAAGAACCAGGTCAACATTGTGAAGCTTTTGCTGCGGCTTGGGGCCAATGCAGACGCACACGATAAACAGGGACGGACGGCGCTCATGACGGCTGCATGGAAGAACCATTTCCACATCATGCATGAGCTGTTGAGATGCGGTGCTAGCGTTAATAAGAAGGACAACACTGGGAGGAATGTACTACACAACTTGGCGGCCGACAAGCATTGCAATTGGGGACGCGACGTTATCTCCGAGCTGCTGAGGCAAAACATCGCCATTGACGGGCCAGAGGGCCAGGACGAGCAGAAGCGCACTCCATTGCATTGGGCAGCCAGTACGGGAAAGAGGGAGCTATGTGAAATGCTACTGAGGAGACCCAGGCTACCCAGGGCAAACGTCAACGCAATCGAGGTCAGGCAGAAGACGGCGCTTCATTTGGCAGTCGCACATGGCAGAGACGACATCATCGAGGTGTTGCTCAGCAATGGCGCAGATATCATGGCAAAGAGCGACGGATCTTGGACTCCCCTGCACAATGCTTGCGAGCAAGGAAGTGTCAAGGTGCTCAAGGTGTTGTTGGGCGCTGGAGCAGATATCAATGCGCGTCTCTTGAACGGGATGACACCCTTGCACGTGGCAGCACAAGCAGGACATGTTGATGTAGTCAATTGCCTCTTGGAGAGAAAGGATATCAAACGCGCTGCCAAGGACACGTTCGGCATCACACCGTTCTTGCGAGCCGCACAGAGCAAGAAACCTGCGCGCAAAGCTATCATCAATACACTCGCGCCGCACAACCAAGTAGAAGCACTTAGCGAGGATGCGCTGGGCGCGACCCGCGGGTTTCACGCTACCATTGTCGACTTTGGGAACTTTCACAACGAGAACAAAGTCTCACGAAAGACGGTTCACGAGCTTCTGTATGCCCGCGATGCCATCAACCCGAGAAAGCCAGCTGTTGCTGTCCTACCCAAAGAGTCCAAGGCGACAAGTTTTAGATGGATACACCTTCCTGCCAACAACATGGCTTGGGTAGAAGCCTTGTTAACGAAAGCATTCATCGAGGAAGGTGCGGCTGATGTGGAAGGCTTCAAGGCGCTTGAACGGTCTTTTACCCATCAACACCGTGGACAGCAAATACACTCGCATTTCATGAGACCACTGTGTCAGAGCACACCACGTGCGCCAAGACATCAAGATGATTCCGATCTTTCCGACGGCGCTGAACAAGGCCTACCGCAGATCACTGTGAACAAGCCTCTGGGGCTGGGCATCGACGCCGTGGCAGGTGCTCAAGAGCCAGCACCGTCGCACTTGCCTCGAACGCCTGTGCGCTCAGAGACGGTCAGCACTGACCAGACCGACTGGGCTGCGGGCTCGGGCTCGGGCACTTTGACCGGTAGGGAAGGAAAGACCAAGACCAAAGAAAAGACGAAGAAGGCGCAGAAGTGGTCCGGTTCTAGGCAAGCCGGCAAGCGGTCTGGTGGCACCGACACGCCGAACCGACCTCCTCCAGACTATCATGCCCGACGAACGCACACTAGTCATTCCCTCACAAACAGTGGTCATTTGAGATCGCCTGGTAGTCCTGGCAGAAAGGATCCGACGGCAGTGGCAAAAGGGAACATCTTCGCTTTTATGCCCTATCTGCACTTTGAGACCAACAGTCGACGGCAGGAAATGCAGGATGCGATCAAAACGACCCAGACGCTAAAGGAGCGCAGAATCAACGATTGGCGTACTACCAGGCAGCCTGTGAAGCGGGCGTCGACATATGATGAGATGCTACTCAGGGCTCACTTGACGTCTTCGCAGGTTTCATTGCACGTGCGACGTACCCTGGACCAATTCTTCTATCACAACATCGATACCCAGTCTCGAGACAGAGATCAGGTTGTCTATCGATATCAGTGCAAGTCGAATGAGCCTGAACATGTAGATCCCAAGATCTTCATGGTTGACCAGTTGTGGATGTGGACCATTGGCAAAGACTTGATCGTTACTGCCTTTCCTCAGCGGTGGCAGCAACCTCGTAATGACCCGCTCAACGTGCTCGATGGCGTCATAGAAGACATCAACAGCAAGACAAGAGATCCCGTGCGCAGCGTCTATGATCTTGCTATGATCATCACTGGCCGATGTAGTGGCGTCTTTGATCGTCACAGAGTTGGCGACGAGGAGTATCAGTTCCTCGACATGTTTGAATCGAGTATTGGCGACGCTACCGAGATGGAGACTATGCTGTTCAAAGAATTCAACACGGCGTCTGCCCAGGCCTCGGCTTGGCTGCAACATCATCGTCGCCCAAATCGTTTCTCACGCCATTTGGAGGCCGAAGGGAGACAACGCGAGCACCTCCATCGTCGACATGCGCCGCACCATTCTCATGCGCATGCCCTGATAGATCCTCCTGTGAGGGAACAAGAGTTTGACTACGATGATAGCGACCGAACAGCTGCCCACGCCCCGCTCTTCGTCGACAAGCTCTTGGACATTGGTGCAGAGACGGATCTCTTAGCGGAAACAAAGGACATTCGCGACGAGCTTAACATGATCTCAAAGGTACTAGAAGATCAACGTATTGTCCTCCCTGACATGGAAGCGAGCATCATAGACATTTACCGCGAAGAGCACAAAAGCCAACAGGACCTTAAAAAACGATTCAGAGACATGCTAAAGACGATTGACACGCACATCAAAGACATTGAACGCATGGACAAGCAAGCCAAGCGCATCTACGAATCCATCACCGACCTCCTCGACCTCAAGCAAAAGCACGCCAACGCCTTCGAAGCACGTTTCGCACGCGACCAAGCCGCCGGCACAGCACGTCAAAGCCAAACAATCATGGTCTTCACGATCGTAACAATCATCTTCCTGCCCCTCTCCTTCATCGCCGCCCTCTTCACAATCAACATCCGCGAATACCCCCATGACCCCGGCGGTGACCAGCCCTCGCTGCCCCTATCCTTTGTCAGCAAATACATGTTCGGCATCAGTTTCGCAATCTCTATCCCTTTTATTGCCATCGCCCTCTCCTTCGACGCTATCGGCGACTTCTTCCGCGAAGTCAAACGCCGCTGGCGCGAACGCAAAGCTAGACATCAACAGCGTCATCATAACAGCAACGGCAACGACGCTTTCATCAACATCAATAGAACCGAATTCTTCGATCACACAGTCGATACCCGCACCATCGAAGAGGCGCTAAGTCGCGGTCGCAGCACCGCCTATCGCACCGACGGTAGGCATAGTATCGAAAGCTATCTCGGCAGTCTAGGTAGCGCGCGCATGAATTCTCTACTTCCGGTTGCGAGTCGTAGTACAGGACCGAACCCAGAGAAGGGTGCTGGTAATGTGAGGGTTACAAATACGTTGAGCGGGAATGGCAATGTAAATGGGACAAACGGGGGTATTGCGGGTAGGTTGAGTGTGGATCATGCGAGGAATCAGATTCCGATTGAGAGGATTAGTACAGGGTTTAGGATGAGAGGGAGTGGCGAGTATGCGCGTACTTGATGGGGAGTGCGAGAGGTGGTAGGTGTGTTTGAAGAGTGGAGAGGTGGCACGTTCTGGGTAAGGCATTTGGCAAAAGAAGCGGAAAAATGGAGGATGGATTACGAATATGGATACCCAAGTGTTGTAAGTCTGTGTACTTGGTACGAGAAATGTTGGAATGTTAATGATTATTTTTATGACGTATTCAAAAAAGTGGTTTCATATTTCGAGCTACACATTTGTGTTCTGAAGCCCCTTTCTAAAACTCTAAAATTACGGAAATCGGCATCCATGCTTGCCTTTCCCCCCTGTTATCAAAACCGTACAACCAATGTTGATGGAAATCTAACATGTCCGCGCGAAATACCAAAAGCCCCACGCATTTCGTACATGGTCGCGTCCCTTTCCTCTAGAGAAAAAAAAACATCCGAGATAGCCTTATCGTCTCGCCATTATTTTACCCGTGTTCGAAGAACAGGTTATGCTGAGCGTTGGGGTGAATTCTACAATGAGATGATGCAATAATAATGGCGTTCGGGGTAGGGCTTGTTGTATAATAAGGTGTATGAATTTCTTCCCCTTCTCTGCTTCGGAAATCTCAGAGACAACCCGGGGGGGGGGGGGGGGGGTTCTTAGTGTCTTACTGGCAAGATCAAAGATAATGAATGAGGCCGCGATGTGCTCTGGTGCTGCTTCTTACATACAGGCTAACGAAGAAACGATTAGATTATGTGGGGTTGGAGACAATAAAGACAAAAAACCATATCTCATATGTTGTTATATTGTCTCAGTATGAAAAGAGCGATCTGTGATAGTTCATTGCCTTTTCTTCACTATATCAGTGATGAAAATGACGACCACTTGAAAAGATGCATTACGCTTATATATGAGGTGATGAAGTGCTAGCTCATATCAAGTTCATGTCTTTAAACTATTATCACTCCTTGAGCGTGTCCTGACGCCGTTATTATTACCACCACCTTGTCGCTTCTTGCTTAACCCTGCATCTCGATACCACCAGAGCCGTGAAGTACCTCGCCAGTGCAGTAAGAACCGAGTGGCGAGGCAAGATGAACATAGCATGTGGCCATCTCAACGGGCATACCTGGTCTGTTCAATGGACAAGCGCCAACGCCAAGGCTGTCCATGGCATCTGCAGGGTTGTTCTTAGTGGCGGGTTGGAGAGGCGTCCAGCTACACGATATCAGCTCACATGCTCTTTAACTTGGACATGAGATCTACTTACATGATTCCTGGGGCAACGGCGTTCACACGGATACCCTTGGGGGCTTGTTGTTGAGCGAGACCTCGAGTGAAAGTCGCAATGGCTCCCTTTGTGCTGGCGTAGTCGAGAAGCGAAGGATTGGACATGTAGGCAGCGACCGAGGTACTGTTTACAATGCAGTCACCACGTTTCATGTGCTTGAGTGCGTACTTGGACATGGCGAACATGGAGATGACATTAGTGTGGAAGGTCTTCTCCGTTACATCGAGGTCAATCTCTGTAATGTCTGTACACATTTCCTGCATGGCGGCTGTTCGCTGTTGGCTTTGGATACTTTATGGGCAAGCATGAATAGACGTACCGTTGTTGACCAGTACGTTCAGCTTTCCGAAAATCTTCATGTGCTGCTCAACGGCCTGCTCGCAGTTCTTCCTTTCCCGAAGGTTGAGCTGCATGAGGTTCGCCTTCCGGCCTGCCTCTTCGATCTTCTTCTTGACGTATTGTGCATCCTCCTCTTCCTCAGGTAGGTATACAATGCTTACATCTGCACCTTCCCTTGCGAATAGAATTGCAACTGCTCGTCCGATACCAGAGTCTCCGCCTGTAATCAGAGCAGCCTTGCCTTGTAGTAAGCCACGGCCCTCGTACTCCTTGAGATACGGCTTCTGGTTCTCGTCCCAGAACTCTAGACGCGACCACTCGGCTTTTTGGTCAGTCTTTGCATCGAGACCTGGGCCACCTTCTTGGTTCTGTGGGGTGATGGAGGTTGCAGGGTACGCGGTGACGGGGCCATTATCGCTCATTTTGATGGTTGCGCTGAATGTGCGTATAAGGGGGTTAATGTTAGTTGTCAGGTGGGTTGGTCTTCTGAGAATAAGGGTTGAAGATATTTGAAGAGTTGTTTTGAACATTCTTGTGGATCGGGGAGGACTATGATGTAGTTGCGCTTTTGGTGGGGTTAGGATTGATAAGATCGTCATCGAACGTCATTGTCAAAATTCAAGACCACGTCACATGGGTGAGTCTAGATTGCGGATTTTGAGGGTGCGTATTAACCCGTTCATAGAATTGCGATTGTCATGGGTTGTAGCCCATCGTCTAACTGTGCTGCGCTAGTGGCGGCTTGATAGTCTGTGCCTGCCCGATTGAGAAGGGCCATTGGCGGAATAAGTGAAGACATGGTATGAGGCCGTTTTGGAAGATACAAGTGCCTCTACTCTCGTAGAAGACGGTGATGACGGGATATCGAACAGTGTGGAACGTCTTGCTGGTTCATGGTGTGGATTCTGCATAAGATGATGTTGGCACACTGCCAAAGATTGAGCTCCGCGCCGGATCATACGAAGAGCCAGTGCATATACGTTTGCACGGTCTCTAGGGTAGCGTAAAAGGCATTCGTATGTGGGGAATGACAGTAGTGAGCTACAGGCTTGGCGTCCACGTACCTGTCAGCGGCCCCTATCCCACCTAATCATCCAGACCCAAAGGAGCAAAGCGTATGTCGTTGGACGACCGCGTCTGGCGTCGCGGCGCATGCGCAAACACCCCACTCTTCCTGCACTACAACAACAAAAAAACAAGCGCCACTCACTATACCGCTAAACCTACAACGACGCCGCGTACCGCCACCCAAACCCCAATTCTTCAAAACGATGTCCTCGACCTTCCGCGCTGCCGCTCGGGCACCAATCTCCACTCGGACCTTTGCACGCAGCTTTTCGTCGACTCGCCCCTCGCAACTGGCGCGCATGACGGTTGTTGGCCGTCTTGGTGTTGCACCAGAGGAGGTTACCGTTTCCGGCGACCGGACATTGGTTAGATATGTAGTTGGCACAAACTACGGCAAGGGCGAGGAGAAGAAGACGAGCTGGTTCAGGGTTGCGAGCTTTGTGCAAGGTGCGCAAAAGGACTTCCTGATGAGCGTGCCCAAGGGATCTCTCCTCTATGTCGACGCCGACGCACGCATGGAGACTTACACAGACAACGAGGGCAACAAGAAGAGCAACTTGAGCTTGGTCGCTCGTAAGTAGGCCGGATATGGAGCCATGGAAGAGGCGGTGCTAACGCAATTGACAGGCAACTTTGAAGTTTTGTCTCGTGCCCGCACCGAAGAACTTGATGCCAACGACGAGGGTCTCGTTCAGGAGGCATCCGGCTAAATGCCGAAGGCCTGATAAGCCAAGCCCTCATCGAGGAAAAGTCGTATAACTGCAGGTCTTCAGTACATAGCAGAACAGGGTGGCGATAAGGTTGGCAACAGGGAAAGTCAGAGTCACCCATGCCTCAGCGCGGCGCGGCGCATTTCCTTTGCGAGTTTGATATGCGAAGTCTGGGTGTATAACTATCCCCTCCGAGTTTACATGGGACCATTCCTACTCTAGGCGCAGCTCTGGACGGGATAATTAGTCAATGATACCTTTTCTTTTGGTTGCCTTGGTTGAACATTCAAACCTTAGCAATGTGCAGTAGTCAGCCATGCCATGTGTAGGAGAATATATCTTAGGCTACCCACCTGTGCACGGGCCGAAAGTGCGGCGAACCAAAACCTCCGGGAGGGTCCATGGCAACTTTTTGTGGCCCAACTCTCAGACGTCAACACCACAGTGGTTTAATATGCAAAGATTTGTGCCTCTACCAGCGCGTCAGCTCTGGGGTCATGCGCCACGCGTACGGTCATATAATCGCTTCAATTGCAATCGCCGTACATTTGCAACCGTCGGCGCAGAACGGTGCGTTACTACATATATGCAATCCCGCCAATTGCCTAACTCTGACTGTTGTGCAGACCATACGATGTAATAGTAATCGGCGGCGGCCATGCAGGATGCGAAGCGTCGGCCGCAGCAGCCCGCTCCGGTGCACGAACAGCCCTCATAACGCCTTCGGTCCATAATCTCGGCGTCTGCTCATGCAATCCCTCCTTCGGTGGTATCGGCAAAGGTACTATGATTCGCGAAATTGATTCCTTGGATGGTGTTGTGGGACGTATCGTGGATAAAGCGGGGGTCCAATTCAGGGTGCTGAACAGGAAGAAGGGTCCTGCCGTTTGGGGTCCACGAGCACAGATCGACCGTGCGCTATACAAGGAATATATGAAGAATGAAATATTGGGATACAAGGGATTGAGTGTCGTAGAAGGGAGTGTTGCAGACATCATTGTCGATAGGTCGCAAGAGGAGGGGTCGAAGGGACAATATGGAAGAATCACTGGAGTCAGGCTGGAGAGTGGCGAAATAATACAGACGGAGAATGTCGTCATCACAACAGGCACGTTTCTGGGCGGCGAAATACATATCGGCCTCGAGGCGTACCCATCTGGGCGCATGGGAGAGGCTGCGACGTTTGGCCTGAGCAAGAGTTTGAAGGACGCCGGCTTCACGCTGGGAAGGCTAAAGACAGGTACACCGCCGCGGTTAGATGCGAATACGATTGACTACAAAGTCCTGGAAGCTCAAGAGGGAGATTACCCGCCTATGCCATTTAGCTATTTGAACGAACGAGTGCAAGTCGAGAAACAGCTACTGAATCACGAAACCCGGACGAACGAGGCAACGCACGACATAATACGACAGAACCTCGACAAGTCGATACACATCCGTGAAACTGTAAAGGGTCCACGTTACTGTCCATCGTTAGAATCAAAGGTCATACGTTTCGCGGACAAAACATCACACATCATCTGGCTCGAACCAGAAGGATTCAACAACAACGTAGTGTATCCGAATGGCATCTCCTGTACTGTCCCCGCCGATGTCCAAAACACTATGCTTAAGACAATAAAAGGCCTCGAGAACGTCAGCATGCTGCAGCCCGGTTATGGTGTAGAGTACGACTACGTCGATCCGCGCCACCTGCGTTCTACGCTCGAGACCAAGAACATATCCGGGCTCTTCCTGGCCGGTCAAATCAACGGCACGACCGGCTACGAAGAAGCAGCAGGCCAGGGAATCATCGCCGGAATCAACGCCGGTCTGCGGAGCTTAGGCAAAGAACCCATGACCCTCACCCGAGCAGATGGATACATCGGCATCATGATCGACGACCTCATCACAAAAGGCGTCTCAGAACCTTATCGAATGTTCACCTCACGCTCCGAATACCGCATGTCAGCTCGCGCCGACAACGCCGACGTACGTCTCACAGCCCTCGGCCGCGCCGCCGGCGTCATCAGCGACGCGCGCTGGAAAGCCTTCTCCGAAGAAGCCGAGCAAATGGCAGCCCTGACAAAGGCCCTCCAGGACAAAAAAATGGGCTGGACAGATTGGAATAAACATGGCTTCAAAGTACGAAACGATAGCACCAAGCGCTCTGCCTACGACCTCCTCCGCCTCCCCAACACGACACCCCAATCCCTCCTCCCCCTCATCGCGGAAATATCATCGTTCCCCCAACACATCCAGGACCGCGTCCACATCAACGCTACATATGCGCCTTACGTCGAATACCAGGCCGTCTCACAAGCCCGTTGGCTCAAAGATGAGAATCTCAAACTGCCGGATGATTTGGACTACGAGTCCATCTTCGGGCTAAGCTTTGAGGAGAAACGCGCGCTGGAGGTCGCGAGACCCGAGAGCGTGGGTATGGCGAGGAGGGTCGAGGGTGTGACGCCAACGGGGGCGTTGAGGCTGCTGCAGTATGTGAGGGGTGCAGGGAAGGAGGAGAAGATGGCGAAGGCGAGGGAGGAGATTGAGGCGAGGAAGGCGTTTTATAAGGGTGCTACATCGGATTTGGGGGTAGAAGGATTGTGAATAGTGTGGGTAGGGGGGTTGTATTATATAACGTTGGACGGCGTTGACGGATGCTTAGTGGGCGTATAAGGACATTGGTATGTGGAGAGATCAAAAGAAATTTGTATTGATATCTTTGAATGTTGCCTTCAGTTTCAAATACATTACACACAACATAACTGGGCAGTCCCCAACTCACTCTCAACGTTGAATGCATTATCTCATACATCTTGCTTCCCTCTATCCCCTATGAACCTCTATATAGATAAGAAGAACTATAACTAGCATCCGGCACTATAGTAAGTCTCTTTGCTCTTCTATGCCGACATCTAATACCTTGCCAACTAACCTCTTCATCTGATTCGTACTCAACCTTCACTGCCACACCCTCTGCATTCCTCATCATGCCCGAGTTCTCATAATCCAACTCCGCGCTCTCAAACCCTTCCAACTTGACTGCATCTCTCTGCTCATCCAGCCACGCCCCAACACCCTCCTGTTTCCCCGTACCTTCTTGTTTCTACATCCCAGTTTCTGCCTCAACCTATTCCTTCTGCCTTGCTTGTCGTTCCCCATTAATACACCTCACCCAAGCACATGCTCAGAAACTTTGCATATCACTCCCCACGCTCCACCCGCCACTGCTTGCAAACCACTCTATCCACCCCATCATCATGCTCGTGGAAGTTACAAGCGTCCCTGACTTCGTGATTCAGCTCTTTCCGTTTCGCTCTCTGAGCCGGGACAGCAATCAGAATTATATCAACTAGATACTCTGGAGGCAGATCCTTCAGCCCCAGTCTGGTAGATTTCCCACCGGTTTGGACTGCTTTCTTCCTGGCGAACTGGCATGGGGGTGCCGTGGGGGGTAGCTTAGTGTAAAACTCTTTGATGACATGGGCGTGCCAGTAACTTCTTGTTCCGGGATTGTGGGCATTGTATTCTGTGAGTTCGACCATCAGCGTCATGATGTCGTCGCGGATTTAAGTTGTGTTGTATGTGTTGGCGAAGAAGAAGAGACGGTGCATTGTTTCCTGATAGTTGTAGGATGTGGAGAATAGGAACTCTGTAAAGGAAAAGAAAATTGTTGTTAGTTGGTACATGATTTTCTGGGTACTTAGGTATCGCTCAACACTTACCATCTTTTAGGATCCAGCTGGGAGGTTTGGATTTCGATTTATCCCAGGATGGCCCTTCCTTGATACGTGCTAGAACTTCATCGCTTAGGATTGGTTGTTGGGGGATCTTGGGGTTTATAGTCTGGTGGTGGCCTGTGTCGTTTTTCACCGCTTCTGACGTTGGTTTCGTATCTCTCAGCATGCAAGCAGCTGCAGGCGGCTGAGGTGCCATGCAACCAGAACTGGAAAAGCCTCATAGTGGAATTGCTAACACCTGCAAGGTGGATAATCTCTTCTTCTTTTCTGTGGAAGTTCTTCTTGATTAACGCTGAGAATTAGGGTGAAGCAGAGCACAATAAATTTCAGTGCAAAATGTATGTCATTTATCTTCGTTCAGGGCAACATCGATTTTGATGACGACGAAAGTTCGATTGAAGGAAACTTGGTGCTGAGCAATGGGATTGTCAGTTATGCTATTATTTGCGCGAGAAAGAACAGAAGTAAGATGGCTTTACGCGGGTGCGTGCCAGGCAGAAACTACCTAGGTTGTATAGAACGTAAAGTGAAGATGCCTTCTGAGGTCTTTGCTCTGTCACCCAGGGAGAAGGATCGGAATCTGACTCTTCCGTCTTCTGATTAGACACAGTGCTGCTAATAGCCTTTAGGCTTGATCAAAATCTAGCAATATGTTTTGACAGATCAATGGGCTCGTGAAAATTATTATAACAGCATATGTAAGAGTTAAGGAACTTAGTGAAGGAGAGCAAGAAGTTGGAGAACAGTCAATTGAAGTAGCCATCTCCGCATTTCCCACGCTAGCCTCTAAGATAAAGAACACTAAGCTTCCAAGGTTTCCTTGGCTACCTTTAAAATGGTCCAGGCACACCTATCGTATGCAAAATGACCACAATCTCTTGCTTCAATGCCCATAATACCGTAAGACGTGCGCAGAGGGACATGTAAAAGAAAGGTTATTGAACTCTATGAAACCGCGCAGAAGCGTGCTGCGCTAGAAACTCCCAGCGCCGACCGCATGTAGTAATAAGAAATAATGTTACAGAACAAGTACAACAAGATTGCCCATAACTTTTCAAACCCCGATTGCCTTTTGAACCGTGCCCTATTATGCGCCGAGAAACCAATCTATTCCTGTTGAGACATGTGCGTTGGGAAGTTGTAATCCGTGTAATCGATATGTACAAAGGCGCGATCGACGTATGGTACACTTTCTGGAAACTGTTAGTCTAATCACCGTCTGGGGAGAGAGATGGGTCTAAGAACTTACCGAGGACATACTGCAGACTCTCACCCAAATCATGGCTGTCCCTCAGACTAAGGCTCTCGTCAACCACAATGTCGACCTCCACGTTCAGCTTGTCACCAGCGTGGTATGCCTGCAGGCCTTGAATCCTCTTGATAGACTTTGCGAAACGCATGGTCATGTAGAGCAAGATGTTCCGCTCGTCAGCAGTTGCACTTGCACCCGTCAGGTTGCGGATGTGCTCGGCAGAAGTCGCACTCCAGTTGATGATGACATAAGCAGAGAGCAAGATACCGCCAAGGGCGTCGAGCCACCAGATTTTTGCAAAGTATCCTACAAGCGGAAAGAGGATGGAGAAGGTGTTGAAGACCACGTCAGTCATGGCGTCCTGAGCGAGTGCCTGGACGCTAGAGTTGCGGATGAGACGGCACCAGAGCCAGCACATTCCCTTGATGACAACAGTCAAAGTCATGATGGCAACAGCAGGGATTGTCAATTGAACGATGGTGTGATCGGGCCCTGAAAGTCTGGAAACACCCTCAATGCCGACTTGGAAGAACGAGGTCATCATGATGACGGAGAAGATTAGGACGCCAATGGGTTCAAGACGCCGGCGACCAACAGGGTAGGCGTAACGGTCTTGACGAGCAATCATCCAGGACGTAAACCATACTATGGCTGTGGAGAGAAAGTCAAGTGCGGCATCGACCAAACTGGCGACAACGGAGAGCGAAGATGTAAGGACGGTGACGACAATCTTCATGATGAGGAGGGCCGTGTTCGCACTGAGGTTGACATAGAGAGCTAATTTGACAATGGGACTGTCTGTATCTTCGTCTTCTTCTGGTACCCAGTCCTTTAGCTTGGAGTTTTGTAGTGCTTCCTCTTCGTCGTCGTCGACAGCATGTTCGCGCGCAAGTAGTGGTGTGTTCTCATCTGCCTCGGGAACTTTATAAAGGTTCTTGGGTGTACGCTTGACCATGGGCTTGGTTGCCCCGTTGCCGTTGCTAGCGTTGAGACTGTTTGAAGATGCGCTTCTCCCGTTTTCGCTGGGCAGACTAGGGGTATTGGAACCATTTTTGGCCCCAGGAATGCTTGGAATGGGTGTAGAGTTGGCCGAAGACTCCTCAGTGATGGTAGTGGGGATCTTGACGGAACCGGATTCAAGATTGGTATACTCTTGAATCAGATTGTGGGGAAGCGACGAGTCGAGCAAACGGTCAATGTACAGGTAGTTCTGGAGCAGCTCGTTGTTGCGCTCATAGTACTCGCGTACCGGCTTCTTCATGCCCTTGAGCTCCTCTTCACTCTTGTAGTACTTTTCCCATTGGTATCGCGGGTTGGAGTTGCCAATCAGCCGTTGGCTCCTCATTTGCGGCGTGTTCAAGACATGGGCCCCAATGCTGCTCCTCCGATCAGAGTCTCGGTCGTGCGGCATCATGAGGCCATTTCTGTATGCTTCCAAGTCCTCATCATCCGTCTCACTGCCGCGGCGTTCGTTGCTGCGTATTGTCGAAGGCCGGCGCGTGTGGTGGAGCAGCGATGGGAGGTGGTGGCCGCGCGTGGAGATTGCGGAGGCGTCGTTTTGGAGGGGAAGGAACAGCTTGGAGTTTGTGAGACGCGGGTGGCTGGAAGAGCGGGGGACATGCGCAGGCGACGAGGGCGTCGGTGGTGTGGCTCCATAGTCCGTCATGGCCGCGATTTACAATATATGAGTGAATATGTACAAGAGGCGTCGGTAGGGGCCGAGTCTTCGAATGAAAAAACGAACCAAGCCGGCCTTGATCGTCTTCTTATTTCAATGGCGTCGCGCAGTAAAGCTGGAAAAAAAAGGGGAAATGCGATACGACACGTGATGAAGACTAGATGAAAGGCGAGGCAATAGCAATGGCAATGGCAATGGCAATGGCAATGGCAATGGCAATTGGAGGCTATAGCAGAGGCGACGGCGATGGCGATGGCGATGCTAACTATGAAGCATATGCGTCGCGTTGGGTGAACCGCAATAGCGCCGGGCGCGTGGTGAGATGCAACGCGCTGTCTGGCCGAAACAAGAGGGTCTTTGTGATCGACATGCTGCAGCCCTGGGCGTGCCATTACGCTAGCAATGGTTCGAGTCTTTTGTCGTACACTAGTGGAATCCGGGGTTCGTGCGCAGCCATTACCGTCGCCTTCTAACGACAGGTTCGTCTCACTTGTTTCACAGGGTCATAAGGCGACATGGCAATGGTTTCTGCTACCCACTGCTATCCACTTCTGCACCTGCCGCATCCGCCCGTCAATTCCTTATTACTGCTCCCTTCTCCGGCTTGGCCACATGGCCGAAGGTCCACACTGACCGGCAGTCTCAAGTCTTGTGCCCGTCTCCGCGATGGCACAGTAGCGTCGTTCCAGGTTCTCAAACTCGTCTTGGCTTTCTAACTTCTGTCAAAATTACAGCCACGAGCCTTGTAGCCATCCACCAGCTTTCCCAGTCGCTGCAGCCTTGGTGTATCATCAGGCATTCGTGCAATCACAACTGTTCCTCAACAGGCTCAGCAGTCATGCCAAGCCCGTCTTGAACGAATGCATTGATGAGCTTGGCGAAAATGTGCACGTTTTGTCGAATGCGGTGGCGACACTGCTCTTCTTCATGGTCTACATGTCCATGCAAGACATAAGAGTCTGGCATACAGTCCTCGTAGAATATAATACCATCGTGTGTTAAAACTCTTTCCTGGAACCGCTCGGCCATTGCAACGATAGCATCAAAGTACAAGTCTGAATACATGTCGCGAATGTCAGCTACCCTAGATGAACAGTTTACATCGGGCGCTACAGCCCAATACGATGCGTTCGAGGACACCAGTAATCGCATCAAACTTGATTTGCGAGGAAGGTTGGCGTACAGGAATTGAATGAATTCGCCATCTGGACCAGGCTACCATTTCCACGCATGTGACTGAGCTACGCAGGCAGTTATGGCATCGTCCCGCAGCTGAGGCACGTTGTATCTATCGGCAAAGATGAATAGGCGAAGATGTGAGATAATGGTCGATCGATAATTGGCCAGCTACTCTTTGTCCCCGCAGTGTACCTTTTGTTCTTGCTGGCGTGGCAGATAGGCTTGCTCAGCCACGGGGTAGGTATGGTTCTTGTCGATGGACAAATTACTCCATAGATAGGGCGGCGTCTCTGCCGAATTTACCGTCTCGCTCGTGGCCTCTGTAGGTTTCTTGAGCAGCACTCAAAGAGAGGGGACACATGCACCCTCTGGTTCTTGCCGTATCTGTACATGCGTCTATTGGAGGAAAAAACGAAATGTTTGCTCAGGTAGGTCGGTCAGAGCTATGAAATGGTCAGTGGTCTCTTTCAAGGAACTCTCGAAGCTGCTTGAAAGTATGGCGAGACTGTGGACAGAACATTAGATGGCTCGTCCATGTCTAGCAAGTAGACTCCGCAACAATCAATTCAATCCGGTCACTCTCCTAGACCCACTTACCTATCTAGGTAGGGCTTAAACTCCTATAGGTAACTACTAGGCTTAAAGCGGTAATCAATCAATCCAATCTGAACCTTCTAGGACCCACTTAATTGATTGTTGCGGACTGTGCTAGCAAGCCGATGCGCAAAGTGACAAGGTCGAAGCTCATATTCCTGTCATAAAATCCAGTCCCGTGTAGTATAAGAGAACTATACGAAAGGAACCTACAGAAAATCCGGAGCTGCCGCTGACAGGGTCCTTGGGCGCTATGTTCTTGTTGAGTAGTCAAGTTGTGTGGACTATAACTGAGCCTGGCCATTATAGACACGGGTAGGCCCTTGTGGCACCCCCAAACAATTAATGGTTTGCAAAACTTTCGATCCACTCCTCTCTTCTATTTTCAGTTCGCGGGAGCATGGCTCCGAACGTTCGATCTGTTAGCTAGCCATATTTGACTAAGATCTTATGTTGTGTGCAATCCCCATGGGAGAAGACCATGCCATGATCGCTACGAAGTTGCTGATACAACTCGGTCCGAACTGCGTCTAAAGTTGTTTCTATGAGCTTGCAATGGAACTTAGAATTGAATGTCGTCTCTTCCGCGTATATGCGTTTGTTTCGTACTTATCCACGAGAGCAAGATCTAATAGGCTTACTTTCCCAGGGTATAGGTCGCATTTTCGTCAAATCATCTTGCAGTTGCCAGAATATACCACTCTTTTCTTCTGCACTCATTTAAGTCCAGACAGTTTGAAGCTCTTCGCCTTTGACAAAGTCTATTCGGACTGAGACTTCCCAACGCTTAGGGTCCCTCCGCACCGTACACGCGGGGACTAGGAGACTATATTTTGCGGCAAGTTTCAGTGCTAGACTCTCATCAAGTCTAGCTTTCCCTCCACTCTTAATAACCGTAGAATCGGGGAACCGCCTAACAAGACATCTAGTCAACTCGTGGAGGACAAGGACGCTTATTGTTAAGCATTGCGCCATCCTTCAAGCACCATATGCGGACCTGCAAAAGGATTGTTATACCCCGCTCTCACAAGAAACTAAAAGTTGTTTCTGTCCAATCTAAATATGAATTGGATAGAAGTTTATCAACTAGAAAAAAAATGTATACACGCTCAAGGTTGTTCTTGCTGCGGGCGTGGTGAGGAGTCGCAGTGGAGATGTCGGCGCTAACACCAACACAGACTAGCATGGATTCCGAACTCGCGTAATTGCCTTGGCTTACAACCCACAGGTCAATTTTCGTGCCCTCGACAACGACACCAACTTTCGACATCGACTACTCACATCAAGCAGTCACGATGCCGGTAAGCCACCGCCCTACGGCTGTCGATGTATTGAGGACTCCGTATTGATAATTCCCACAGAGCCAGAAGTCATTCCGCACCAAGCAGAAGCTTGCCCGCGCGCAGAAGCAGAACCGCCCTATCCCTCAGTGGATTCGCCTGAGGACCGGCAACACCATCAGGTACGGACTGCCTACAACAGACGCGTTCTCTCCATCGCAGCAAGCGACATGGGAGATGACGACACTTGCAACGATGAAGTAAAAGCGCACGAAACTGACAGGACACGCACAGGTACAACGCCAAGCGACGACACTGGCGCAAGACCCGTCTCGGTATCTAAACGTATCGCCCCCGACGAACCATCCCTCACTCGATTCTCGATTCCCAACTTCATCTCTCTTATACCGACAAGTCTTTTCGACGCGAGCGATCACATTGGGAACTTCGCACATGGCGGGAACCGAGCGACCAGTCTTCTAAGCGAAGTACATCTGCAGACGAGGGATGCAATGGCTGGTGTTTGTTTGCACGTTACCGGATACTACCTACCTACCTCTCATTCACGGCGCTTGGGGTCTGAAAATGATTACGGAAGGAATCTGATCATGATGGTTTAGACTAGGCAGTGATGAATTAAACAACCACTTGCTGGGTCGCAATGAACAACAGCGGTGTTTCAATGCTGGTGATGCCGAAGCTTGTGATGACTACGGATGACCTAAGCGGCTCAATACGAATGTTACTGGCGTGTTGCACTGCACAGCAAATTTCTTCACTAAGAGTTACTGTCTTCCAACGCATGTTCCTTGAACTGTCGCACAATCCCATGGACCCGTTTTACGCCACGCAGGTACCACGTGTGAATGCATTGGAGCAAAGCTTCACAATAGGCTAAGAGGGGTATAAAGGTCATTATAGCATTAGTGTTGTAGTAAATAGAGTCATAGCGGTCATCAAAGTCGCTATCGTGTTTTTCTCCGCAAGTCTCGTCTCACCTGCTGTCTTGGACTTTCCGTTTTCGTTTTCCGTCTCGTCCTACGGTCGGCCCAGATACCAATCCGTCAGCATTTGCCCAAAGCGGGAACTTGTGCCAGTATCGCGCCCTCTACATGTCCCTCTTCTATCTTCCACTCCTCACTTGGAACTTGGGTCGCTCATCCAAGTCCACGACAAGACAAGTTTCCTCGCTCTTTCCCGCCGTCTCGTATAAGCTAACGACACCCTTTTCGATGCGGATCACCGTACTGCTTCCAGCGTAGCACAGACCCTTTTCCATTCCACACCGGTTCGCAAGGACAACATAAAACGGCCTATCGCTTTTTGCTTCGACCAATGGTTGAAAGCGCTCAACCCAATATGCCACAGTGGCTACATCCGGCTGTGAAGGGTCTTTCGCAAGTTCCGTGGGAGTGAGATGACAAAGCCACGCCATCGATATGCAGATCAAAGACGACTGAGACGACAAGGCCAAGGAGCAGAACTCATAATCCGACCAGGGCGAAACGAATTTGTAAGGGTTGATATCCATACATATGCCCAATGTGACTTTACCGAGAGCACCTAGTTGGCCGGTGAAAAAAGGGTTATCGGGGGACGCGTTGTTTGCAAGCTTGTGAGAGCGGGAGCCCGGGCCTTCAGACGCCCACGTCTCGTCTGTGTAGTAGAGGAAAGATTTTCGGTAGTTGTGCAAGACTTCTCCTTGAGGAGAAACGGTTACGGTGCTGTTGTATTGGGTCTGCGTGTCCGTGGGATTGGTAGAGGGGTCTGTAATCTCCGGGTAGCCGATTGTGACATGGCAGTTGTAGTGTTTGGCTACTTGCTGCGCCCATTTGGTTGATACGCCGGATGCGGTGGGCTCTAGGTACGGTTTGATCTCATCGAGGGTGTGGAAGTTGTATCCCGAAAAGGCCATTTCAGGGAGGACTAGCCAGTCTAGATCATCTGGTATTCGTGTCCTTGATAATATGTCGTCGGCGCGCTGGATGTTTTCTTGGACTTGACCGACCTCGGGCGCGAACTGGAGACACGCCACCTTCATCTTTCCAACTCTTTTCGTGGGGTCCGGGAGACGGTATTTAGGGGCCTGATACACGTGCTATGGCCTTGGCTTGCGAAGTGATTGGGTTGTTTACACGTTGCGAGGGATGACTTGTATAGGAAGCCGCAACTGCAAAGGGCCATGTGCCGAGGTTGTGTAAATTGGGACACCACGTTGACTTTGTGTACCGGCCGGATGGTGGCAATCCGGCGAAGGGACAAAAATTAGTGAGCTCGTGATCTGGTCGGAGAATCAGTGTGAACGTGGTGGTTGGTTTGTTGAGGGTGGTAGAGCTGCCCCACTAGTCGATCACCATGCTCGTTTCGTCTGTAGCTTGTAGCCAATCGCACAATTTCCGCCTTTGTGCCTAACGCAATGCAGCTATGACGCGCATAATTTCCGTGGGTTTCGTGAGCTCACGACGGCTCGTCCATTGCTCTAGCAACTACTCGTCATGTGTTGCGCTCGTCGCTAGTGATTCATCCCGTTGCAATGGCTGGAAGACGGCTTGTTGACGCCGCGAAGCTCTTCAATGCCTCGAGAGGCGTCGCACAGAAGCACATTGCGCTTCGGACGAGCCAGTGGGATGCTTATAACAAGACGTCAAGCCTAGCCAAAGCTGTCAAGGACCAGACGGACCGCATTACCCTTACCGCTGCCGCTGCCATCGCCCTTTCGCAACGCTTCAGCGAGGAAGCCCCAGCCTACGCAAAGGCCGCTGCGGACCGAGCGACGAGCACACAATGGACGCCGCAGGACAAGATTCCTAGAAGAGATACGGTAGAGAGAAAGGTACCGGCACAGGGCGTCAGAGATGGAGCCGAACAAGACCATCACTATGAGCGGTCCGGGCAGAATACTGCTCAGTCGCCGCCGCCCACGGAGGAGTTGGAGGTTGAACAAGAGAAGGCTCCCAGGTCGCCGTTGCCTGATGGGACGATACCAAGCCGAGGCTTGACGCTAGGACAGGAGAAGGGACAGGATACTTTCTCAGAGAGACCAGCCCATGAGGCACCAAAGGAACCTCTGGCTCGTGACCAGAGCGGAAACGCCCGACATGAGGATGAGGGCATCAAGCCCGTGGAATCTTCCAAGTCTACTATACCTTTACCTGGACACCCGCGAGGCAACCATACACAAGTCACGAGGTCAATCCCTGCACATGCGAAAGATCCCCAGCGAACTCCGCTATCAGCACAGGCCGAAAAGCTCCAGAAAGGCCACGATAGAGACGTCTTCTACACCCGGTCCGCCGAAGTGCAGCCGAGTGACATACCCGAAGGAATCAACACCGATGTCTTCCATTCGAAACGCGTCGCGAGAATGCTCGGTAGTGATCCGTTCTCGAGAAAGGAATACGCGCAGCGGACGACTGGTGGACGACATCCTCTCGACGACCGACCCCTGCCCGTGAGTGAGCGACCGAGTCAAGCGTCAGCATCACCGAAACCGGCCCAGCAAAGTAAGTCCGTAGCCGCCTCGGAAGACATGGAAAAATTCGCGTCTCAGCTCGTGCAGGATGCCCAGTCAAACACCGAGGTATGCTTGCTCCCGTATTAGGCTGAAATCTGCTGATTTGCTGACAGTCATACAATAGCCACGCAGTGAGGTAGTCACCGAACAAGAGAAAGCACCGTATGCACTACGAGAGTCGAGAGTCCCGTCATCACGGTTCGGCCGTATATGGCAGTATGCCGGCTTAGGCACAAGCATGGCGCTCGGCGCCGTTGGCGAAGGTCTTCGGCGGGCCACCGGTGGCGCTGCATCAACTACTGGCTCCCTAATGCTCAGTCCTGGTAACTTGGAAATTCTAGTAGCAAAGCTGTCACGAATGAGAGGTGCGGCTTTGAAGCTGGGTCAGATGATCAGTTTCCAAGACATCAAGATGCTGCCCCCTGCCATTCACGACGTTTTGCAGCGAGTGCAAGATAGTGCAGACTACATGCCAGCATCACAGCGGAACAAAGTCCTATCAAGTAATCTTGGTGACAACTGGCGGGATCTCTTTGAATCCTTCGAAGATGTTCCTATCGCCGCAGCCTCAATCGGGCAAGTACATAAAGCAGTACTCAAGTCTACAGGCCAAGCAGTAGCCGTTAAAGTCCAGTATCCTGGTGTTGCCAACTCTATCGATTCTGATCTGAGCAATCTCTCCATTCTTCTGACAGCATCTCGTCTTCTTCCAAAAGGGTTGTTCCTAGACAAGACGATAGCAAACGCACGTACAGAACTCGGCTGGGAATGCGACTACACACGCGAAGCCGAATGCCAAACCAGATTCCGCGACCTCCTGCAAGACGATACCGACGTTTTCACTGTCCCCAAAGTTTTCCCCGAAGCCTGTGGGCCTACAGTTCTCACCGCAGAGCTCATGCATGGTATCGGCGTCACCAAACCCAAGAACCTTTCTCAGGAACAACGCGACTGGATCGGCACACAAATTCTTCGTCTCTGCCTACGCGAAATCGTAGAATTCAAATTCATGCAAACAGATCCCAACTGGACTAATTTCCTATACAATGCTTCGGCTCAGAAAATCGAGCTCCTCGACTTTGGCGCCTCCCGCGACTACCCAGATCAATTCGTGGAACCCTACATCAAAGTCCTCATTGCTGCCTCTCAAGGCGATAAACCGGCGATACGCGACCTTTCTCTTCAACTGGGTTACTTGACCGGCAATGAAAGCCCTGCTATGCTGGAAGCTCACATCCAAAGCGTACTCACACTCTCCGAGCCTTTCAGTGGAAGCGGACCTGAGATCTACGACTTCAGGGATCAGACGATTACAGATAGGGTGAGGGGTCTTATTCCAGTCATGGTGAAAGAAAGACTTGCACCGCCGCCTGAGGAGACATATAGTTTGCATCGTAAGCTATCTGGTGCGTTTTTGCTGTGTGCAAGGTTGGGTTCGCGCGTCCCGTGTCGCGAATTATTCTCCAAGGCGGTGAAGACGTGGGAGGGGAAAGCGAAGATGAAATGAGATGATGAACGATTGTGCATGATGACAAAAAGTATTAAATAGAGGTTTCAAGTGAGGTTGGGAGTGGGGTATCTTGTACACTACTATTACTATTACCATACTTGTACCAATACATCAATACCTTTCTACCATGTTCATCATATCATACATATTCCCATACATCCTCTATCTCCAATCCCCAAGTAGCCACTCTATCAAATTTTATCGCGCCTCAAACTGCATAGCCCTCCTCGTCTTCTTCAACAAAATCCTACACCCACACTCCCTACACCTCAACATCTCGGTATTGCCTCCCGAAAGATTGTACGGCAATTGTCCCCCACCTCGGATGCGTACATCGGCTTCGCACGCGACACATTGGTACACTATCTCCCAGGGTTTGTATTCAGCCGCTAGGTATACCATGCCGGTTTGAAAACTGGGTTTGGACGCGACGAGTGGTGGAGCGGGAGGTGTGATCACAACGGGTGATGGGCAGGGTGCTGGTGATGGTGGAGTGGAGGTGGGTTTGGGGCCTGTGGTCGGGTCTTCGTCGATTTCGAGTTCGGCGGTGAAGACGGCTTCTAGGCCGTCTGAGGAGTCTGAATCGGAGTTTGAAGCGGAGAAGGCGTTGTCGTTGGCTGCCTGGGCGTCGGCGTCTGAGACGATGGAGCTGGATCGATAGAGTGCTGATTCTTCGGTTTTAACCCGCCCTTCTTCTTCTGGAATTCGCAGAGGATCCAGGGCGTGGATAATTCCTGTCATTTCCATCGATTGGGTACGTTCTTTTAGTGTGGTGGCTGTGGTCTCCGATGCGTCTCTTGGAACCTTTTGTTCGCTTTCTTCTTCTTTGGGTATGTTGCTGAAATTTGTGGTTGGAGATGCGTGGTCTGTAGTCGTCGACATGATCATTCTGGTCTTCCCATTAATGCCCTTCTCCTCCTTCTGGTCTACTTCCCCGGCAGACGATGACTTCTTATCCATCTTACCCTCCCCACTCTTTCCCGGGGATGCCGGCAACTCCCCCAACTCAAGCAACCGGCTTTGCCTTCGCGTCGTAGATGCCATAATGCGTCGTTCTATCAAACAAATATTTTGTTGATACTGCGTAGCACTGATGATTTTCCTCGTCCTTGATCTCGATCATGGAGGCGAAACAGGGTCGATATCTCGCGTGCTTAGACAGGGCAGTATGTTTGCGACGAGGATTTGAAAAGTCGTGGGGGCCATGTTGCAGGGTTATTATTATGAACAAAGAAGTTGATCATGCTAATGGGGGGTTGTGGCTTTGAAGGATGGCCGCGTTTGGATTATTCTGGGTTTAGAGAGCAGTGAGATTATGTTGATGTTTGCGGAACAAAGAGCGGCGCAAAAGGGATGCACGTGGGTTTTGTATTCCAGTCGTCAGAAGAATGTAGGCAGTAAGTTTCACGACTTCATTTTTCTTATTCCGATCTTGAAAAGCCAGACCGAAATGCTCTACTATACACATAAACTCTCAAACACTTTTAGTACCCAGTTTTTTGTTGGCCTCTTCTTTAATGTTTCTCTCGGCCTCGCCGTTGTACCAAAGATATACTGCCAGTGCAATGAAAGAACCGAAGCCACTTGCCATGATCATCCTCCCACGGAAGCTCTGTTTCTTCTTCAGTGCTTCGTTTCCGCCCAGAATAACGACTGCCTTTCTCGACCAAGTGTACTCAAGACCACTGTAGATGGTCGTACTAGCCACAATACCGGAGATGCCCTGAATCATCGTCTTGACACCCTGTTCACCTCCTAGAAAATCCTGAATGGACATGAGTAGACCACCTGCAGCGGAAGTCGTAGCCGAAGGATCATGCAGCAAGTTGGTACAGAGAAGTGTACCAAGCAAACTCAATTGTAGGAAGGTGTTGAACTTTGATATGGTCGTGGGATGCACCTCTGCACTTGGCAGACTAAAGTCCCAATACCTCGCCATCGTTTTAGGCGCCGGTAGACTAGCATAGCGATAGTAAAAGGCACTCATGGCCAGACTCACATCTCTACCTAGAATAAGCGCAGCCAGCGGCATAGGTAGACTCCCATTGACAGCCAAGCATGTCACCAATGTCGTCATTAGAAGCTTGTCGGCCATAGGATCGACTACGCTACCGATGACGGTCTGTAAGTTCCAGCGGCGGGCGATCCAGCCGTCAAGCAGGTCGGAGAAGGCGGCATAGGCGAAGAGAGAGAAGGCATAGAAGTGTTGATTGTGGACGATTAGGTAGCCGACTACAGGAGTGGCTATGAGTCGAGAGAAGGTGAGGATGTTTGGAAGGTTGTAAATCTGTTCATGACGAGGCTTGTCAAGCTTGAGTGTCGATTTCAACGTTGTGGTGAGTTTGGCGGATGTTGATGTATTCGAGTGCTGTCGGTGTATAGTTAGTGTCGTTGAATTTCTCTTGGGATAAACATGAAGTAGAGCAAATATATGAAGATTCCATCGGAACAGAAAGCCTACAAGAATAGTATCCTGTGAGACCGAGCAGTGATGGTTCAGTGGCCTGCTGGCCTACTGTTACCACGCAAACTATGTGTTTACTATGAGATAGAATGGACATGGTCCCTAGAAAAAAAATCTCGATGCTCTACGGAGAATATACCTTGGTGTAACACAGAGACTAGGATCAATTGTAGGGCTTGGTGCAGAGATATGGATTGGAGAAAAGTGCGTTACCTACCTCTGCATTACTGCGAGAACTGTTTACTTCATTTTCAAGCTTGAGTCTTCGAGTAGTCGACGTGCTGAACAAACTAGTGGGCCGTATGCTACATGGCCTTTGTATTCTCGTGACTATAGGGAGCCTGGTTATTCTGACGACGTCATCGCGAATCCAGGTGTAGAAGGCACGTGAGGACGCCGGAACCAGAGCTTGCCGATTCTGCGCGAGCCGCGAAAGACTTCGCAGGCCGATTGATGTGCCAGAAAGAGCTGTAACCGTTGTTGGAGGTATACTGACCCTCGCCGCGAGCAGAGAAATCATCGATGCGGAGCGTTCGCGTGTGTGCAGTTGCTTTGAGAGGTCCAACTTGACGCTCGCAGCTGCTGTATGAAATTTGCCAAGGAACTAGCGACAAACGCAGGAGGCGTCCTCACCACCCTCACCACTCACATACTCGCAACTTTCCGTAGCAATTGACGTATCGCCCAAATGAGGAGCTTTGCTGCTGTCTTCCCAAGGCACACTGCCATACTCTTTACATTTACGACGACTTTGGCGATGTCATTTGCGGAGCGGGACGATGATGAATCTAGACGTCATCGATCTCAACAAAGTGCAGCGGAGCGTAAACTTACTCTACTTACCCCGACATTTCACAATCTCGCACGCAGCTAACGCATCTAGACCCTGTACCGTAGGTTGCCACCTCGAGCCCTACCGATCCGTGGTCGGTCCATGTACGTAACTGCGATGCAGTGAACAGCTCCGGCGAGACTGCGGACAACAGGGTCTTTTAAATTTCCACCCTGACCGGTATGACACGCGTACGAGAATGCCGCCAAGATTTCGAAAATGGGGTCAGGCACTACCGAGGAAGGGTCCGATGGTAATGGGTCACTCGTGTCATGCTAATGAGTCCGTAAATCCGAATCCGTAAAGGAACCCCGGACCAAGCACAGCACCCTAAAGGGATCAACGGTAGAAGCATATTGAGCCTCAGATGTCCTGCATGAATTGGTAGCGGCCAGGCCAAGCCTCTGCTTAGGGATCAGTGACCTGCACTTACGAGCTTGCCACTAACTACTATCATGGATTGAACTGTATCGCACATGTCCAGAGGCGAAATGCATTTCTCCGGAGGCATATCATACACTTCCATGGTAATATCATGCAGTTCTTTCCTGGTCGATCCGGCTTCACCTGTTGCACCGTTTCTCCGAGATCGCCGTCTCAGCAGGGTTGCTGGGACCCTCTGCGACCTCCGCATTACATTCTCATACGTACCGTTGTGCTCCACCTACGGGAGAACTGTAAGTAGTCAGTTGCTTTGGCCCCGTCCTCGAGACGAGATGTGGCTTCAGCCTACACACCCTACACAGTCTATTCATCCCCAACACTTTCCTTTAACGTTCAAACTATCACGCACGACCGATATGTCAAGACAGCCACAGGCTGAATCAGATCTACTGACCGCCGACCGGGGAATTCCATGGAACGATTAGGACCCCCACTTGAAGCGTGTACATGAGGCTGAATAGCGATGGCTGCAAAGCTGGAAACGCCATATTGGGAAGCTACGACTATCGATCCAAGCGGTGTAGAAAACCTTGATCAAATCTCCGCGGATCTAAGTCTTTGGCCAGAGCGAAGTACAACCTCTAAAGCCAGAAACTTGCGTATTGCTAGTCTCTGGTACCCAGAGGAACAAGGATTCCTAATTCGGATGACTTGCGGGGTCTACTTAGCAGTCCCTGTTGGAAACGCATACCATACTGCACCTTCCTGGCACGGGCCGCCACTTCGAGCAGTGCAATGCAGCTCTCGTCGAATAGAGTTTGGCTCTCTGCCATGTGTCATGTGTTGTGCATCAATGGCTTCGCTTCGTTAGTGGACCAGACTCTCGACTAAGAAACTTTATTCGCCGACGCGATAATCTCACCAGATGTGATGGCGCAATGAAGATGAACAACAATTCTGGTACGTGGAAGGCTTCCAGAAGAAGTTAATGCAAGCGCAAGACGCGGGTGTGCACGCTTCGACGACATGCTCCAAGGCTACAGATTATGAACTGTCTAGCGTCACGATCTCCAAACTGTTACTGATCTTCGGATCCACGCAGGCTTGGCCGAGCGAGAACTACCCGCAGTACAGTCGGATGGTCCGTTGTTGCCGTGCAGTGCCTACGTTGCACTGCCAACGGGATCATGGACCCTTCTGCAAGTGACAAATGGACATGAAACTGCCGACATTCTGATACTTGGAGAGCTCGATCTGTGACACACGGAAAGCAGATCATCAGCCCAAAGACGGAAAGGACCCTGGGCCGGGTGTTCAGCTTGCGTAGCTATCTGCATAGACGAGAGGTCGTCACGCTTGCCACAAGTCATTGATGGCGCGAGTAGGACAAAATGCGGAAGGTTTATCTTCGATACGTGAGGATTTAAGTTCTAGAGAGCGCGAATTTCACAAACAGTAGCAGGTCTTACAAAGCAAAGGGGTAGGGGTATACCGCAACGGCTAAAGTTGCCAGGAGGCTTGGGTGAAGTTCGGTCTGTGACGCAGTCGCCCAACACGAGCGTACCGTATACGGCGAACATGTCGCCAACGGGAAAGCTGGCTCACCATGCATCCATCCCCTTTCCTAGTGTAGAACGTTTGTCTGCGGCAGCGAACCATGACATGGTATTTGGCCCTAACGGGATTTCGATATTTCGGCTCAATGTTTGCAGCACGTGTTGCTAAGCAGATTTCAGCTATATCACAGAAGAAATATGGATGGGCACGGACAGAGCATGCACGCCTCTATTGCATTGTGCCAAAAGGTGTTGGACAAGCGAGATCCGTTCCACTTTTGAGCGGCATCTCGTGTCCCGTTTCGGCATTCGGCCAGAGGGCCATAAGTTTCAGAAATGCGAGTCCATATAGACTAACGCAGGTACGAGCTCGCACCAGCCGAAAGTGCTGTTTACCCCGTCGAGTGTATCATAAGTGCTAGTGCAGCCTGAATGGGCGGAAATTTGTTTTCGGCAACGGTACTGCAGGTCCCACGGTCAGGTGCAAGCGTTTGCAGAAACGGGGCGGATGTTTGCTTGTTCACGTGTAATAAGAGTCGGGCTACAATATGAGCTTGCGGAGGCCGGATATGAGGCGACTGAAGGAGTGGCAGAAGCCGTGACTGCTGGCCTTGACTCGTCCCGACTGGTGACTCGTGCAGAGAAACAAGACGGAGGCCGTGGAGCTAAGGCAGCCGGCATGTTCGTGGTAGTGGGCGCGAAATCATCAGCTGGCTTCCCCACTATACACTGCCAGCGTTGTGCTTGTGGGTGGGATCAGGCTGCCTGTGACATCAGGTGTGTTAATGCATGAATGTTCAAGTAACGATGGGTGGCGCTTGCACACGAATGGCAAGGGCGGCGGGGATGTTGATTCGGGCGGTGGCCAATGGGCAGTGGCGGGTGGTGGATAACAGCTAGCCAAAAGTAAATCCTGAAACAGCGTCCACACTTGACTGGCTTGCAGGCGGAGCGTCACGCCGAAGGGTCAAGATGAAGGTTCAGGGTATTGGACGGGCTCCTATCGTGTGGTCGATAAGCACAAAAGAGAGTGGCGGTGTGGGCAGCAGCGACGGACAGTAGGCGAGAGATTGGACAAGGACAGTAGGCCAGGGCGGACGTTCGCCAGATGCAAAGCCGATGGCTGGCTGCGGGAGCCAGCGGCCTAGCTATTAGGCGTGTTTCAGAGGAAGATCAAACGATATCCCAGTGCTCTCGAGCTGGTTCCTGCATCTAGACGCATCTCATCAATCGATCAGCCACACGTCGATGACTTGAGTGACGAGGCTGGATAACGGTCATGGAGGACTTTGTTTCCGAGACGCACAGGCGTGATTTGCAGGAAGGTGTCGCGTTCCGTGTATGATGTTCTTGCATCAGCAGCGCTAGACGGTCATGGATCGTCGACACACAGTTGCGGCTTGGCGGGAGCCGGCATGGTAGAGAATAGGGAAGGAGGGATGGGCTTGATGTGGTTGACAGCAGCAGCAGCATAGTAGGATTTCGGGGTCCACGGGTCCAATTGACAGCGGAGCCGGCGACGGCGAGTAGCAGGTGAAGCGTGGAAGCTTTGCAGCACAAGGCAGGAGGGCCGTTGAGACAGGCGCGGGCGAGTTACTGGGAGAGCACATGTTGCTTCCGGAGTTGCTATTCAGGGCTTCTGAAGGGGGGACTACTGCAGGGCATGGCTCTGGTGTCGTCTACTACTGTAGCGGGCAGCAGGGCAAGCAAGTTGGTTGTACTGTCACTACGCGAGTAGCGCAGGGCAAAGGTGTGTAATTTCTACTACTACTACAACTACATGGTACCTAGAACTAGAAGGAACTCTGTAAGATGAGCGAGGCTACTCAAGCGTGGTTGACATGTGGCCGACGACATTGTTTTACAGGCACAGGTAGGCAGGTAGTTACAGTACCGGTAGTGTGCATGCGGACCGCGATGATCACTACTCGACGAGGTGGGCAAACTGGGCGTCTGTGTCTCCGGGGGCCGGCCTCGTGGTGGGCTGCAAGCGAGGTGAGGGCTGTGGCTGGTCAAGGTTTGCGAGAGCGAGGGGCGGTCTAGGCCCAAAACGACGAATGCGCCGAGGCGAGAGGTAAGTAGTGGTAGCAGGGAACGGGCAGGCAGGGAGGAGGGCAGGGCAGTGGCCAAGTGCGTGCTTGCACTTGCTGCGCTGCGAGGAGAGAGGCGAGGCGGCAGGTGCGAGCGCAGCCCGGAGAGCGCAGGCAGGAGCGGCCGATGACCAAGGCGGGCAAGGAAAGGGCGACCCAGGTACGCCTCTCCACCTTCCAGAGGCGCGCAGCGCATAATGCCGTCGAGCCAGCCCAGTGAGCCCACCAGCCCACGACCTCACAAGCATGCTCCCGGGGGGAGAAAACCGCCGGGCTCCACCCTCACCACCAGCGCTGCGTCGCGCAACCCCCCCAACACACTCGCGGCCAGCCCAGCACCTTAGCCAACCCTTCAACGCCATCACCATTGCATGCACGGCCGTCCCACGAGTCGCCCACACCCCTGCCGCCAACTGGCCCGCCGCTGGTCCCTCGGCGCCCTAATTGGCCGCCAGCCCTGCACTGGCCAGGCCGCTGACTGGCGTGCGGAAATAGATCAATGTGAGACCACTAGCCTCCTGTTTCACACGCCCTCCGACACCTAAAGCTGCCGCTGCCCCCTCGGATTTGCGTTTCGTATCCCCCTCCCAGAGCTGTACCTTCTTGGTTGATCTTGAGACTGCTATCTGAGGCAGGTTCCTCAACTTCTTATTATCGGCCTCACGTTCACGTTTTATTATCTACTCCTTTTAAACATAGCCTGACACTCCTTCGTTTTCGAACCTGGCAGGTCCTCGTCGAGCCATTCCCAGTTGACAGCACCTTCCCGTCTCCGGGCCACCGCGTCACACGTTGCAGCTTTCAAACACCTATATAGACCATCGTGTTGCAGCCCACCATGTACCCATCCGCCCATCATGCTCAGATGCCGCCGCCTCAGGCACGATCTGTCGCGCCCGAGACGTTCTTACTAGATCAAGACGCTCAGCAGAGCCTACCGCCCGACAGCGTCGTTGCTCTGCAACAAGTCGACAACCGTATGTGCTTCACCCACGCCGCCTGCTGACGCCCTGCTGACCCGCTCCCAGTCAAGTACTTTCTCATTTCCGCACCAGTCGACTGGCAACCAGACCAGTACATTCGCAGATTTCTGCTCCCCACAGGCGAATACGTCTCATGCGTTCTATGGTATGTTTGCATTTCCTCTTTGCACACCCGCCACCCTCTAACCATCCCCCCAGGAACAACCTTTTCCACATCTCCGGTACCGACATTGTACGATGCCTATCGTTCAGATTCCAGGCCTTTGGCCGCCCAGTCAAGAACTCCAAGAAGTTCGAGGAGGGCATCTTCTCAGATCTCCGCAACCTCAAGTCAGGCACAGACGCCTCATTGGAGGAGCCCAAGAGCGCTTTCCTCGACTTTCTCTACAAGAACAACTGCATCCGCACACAAAAGAAGCAAAAGGTCTTCTACTGGTACAGCGTACCCCACGACAGGCTCTTTCTCGATGCCCTCGAGCGTGACCTCAAGCGCGAAAAGATGGGCCAGGAGGCCACTACCATGGCTGTTAGCGAGCCCGCTCTTTCCTTCGAATTCGATTCATCACAATCGCTCTTCGAACAGCTTACCAAGGCGCAACAAACAAACTCTTCGTCCTTCAACAACAACGTCCAGCCTTCATATCAGAGCACATCTCCCGACATGCGCGGAATGGACTCTATGCCCCCACCAAACATGGTTCCCGTGCAGCAGCAGATGCCCCAGATGCAACAGCAAATGCACCACGAGGACCCAATGGCTCAATACCACCAGCAAATGTCCATGCCGCCTTCCATGCAGAACACGGTCGTGAAGAGCCGCGAACAACGCGAGATGAGCCAATCCTTCCAGTACGACCGCAACGGCATCCCACTGTCGCAGGTCCACCAGCGACACAGCTCCATGCCCGCTTACATGGAGTACTCGCCTGCGCCTTCCTTCGTCTCGTCTCACTACGAGGACTACAGCACGCGCGGCATGTCTTTCGAGCCATTGACCCCTCCTCAACACCAGATTGGTCTCGGTGCTGAGCCGGCGTACATTGCGAACGAGGACACTGGTCTCTACAGTGCCATTCCCGACCTTCCAGTTCCCAACACATTCAACCCCTTGATGAACATGCCACCGTCAAACCTCATGGGGCCCGGTTACCCTGGTGTCTCACGGCCATTTGCTCCCGGCAACGTTTACTCTGTCATTGAGGGTTCGCCCACCTACAAGCAGCGAAGGAGGCGCTCTTCTCTCTCTGCGGGTATCGCTGCTGCCGTCACTGCTTCGGGTGCCGGTGCTCATCAGGTTCACCGCCCAAGTGACCTGAGGCGGTCAATGTCAAGCTCTGTTGTTCCTCTTGCCGAGGTCGACGAGTCGAACCACAACTCTCCCAACAGCACCAACGGGGCCAACTACGGTCATCAAATGCCAGAGTCGAAGCCCATCATGGACATGTCGCGCCAAGGCACCCCACTCAACACTGTGGAGGAGAGCCCAGAGCCACAACCGGCCTCGCTGCATCACGATGACCTCAATACTCTCGTCAACGGTGAGCTGTTTGAGAGTCCTCTCCAACACAGCGCTGTTGCGCGCACCGCTGGTGCTGGTGGACCCGTCTTCCGACGCGCCCGCAGTGCTACCATGATGGAGATTGGCCCCTATCCCCAGAAGTCACACTCTTGCCCTATTCCCACATGTGGTCGTCTGTTCAAGAGATTAGAACACCTCAAGAGGTAAGCGCTCGCAATTTCCCCATTTCTCTGTTTCTGTTTCACAAATCATGCCCTATTTTTGTTGTCTCGCATAGACGCTGACCATGGCGCTTAGACACGTGCGTACCCACACCCAAGAACGTCCATACGTTTGCCCGCTGTGTAACAAGGCCTTCTCCCGCTCAGACAACCTTGCCCAGTATGTCACCTCATTTAGCATCCAATCACAAGCACTTTACTAATTAATTCATTAGACATCGTCGCACACACGAACCCCGTGCCGACGGCGAGCCGCTCAGCGACTACCAAGAGGACGATCTTGAGGGCGAGGAGGATCACATCCACTCGCTCGATGAGGACCTCTCGCCTGAATCTGGCAACGAGTACCTCTCTGGCTTGTCGCACTCCATCAATGACATCCCAGGGCCTGGACTCGGTATGACTATGGCGCCACCCCAGCACAGCTTGATGGCCGGTAGCCACTACTGAGCACATTGGGCCACCGCCACCAACAAAAGTATCACGACGTTACACACGTGAAATGAGCATCTCGGCGTAGGACGGCGCAGCCATCTAGAAGGGTATCTGCGTATTGTTGTTTCTTGTTCATCTATATCTTCTTACCTCTCGCCTAATCTCCTAGACCGAAGTGTGCCTTCACTGTGGCATACTATACGATGTCTGCGCTGCATTTCACTGCATGCTTTTCCCTCTTCTTTTCTTTTCTTTTCTCTGGACCTCGGAGCTAAGGGATGGTGATACCACCGGATATTGGCTTGGGGCTGGTGACGACATACGAACATGAGTACCCTTTCTTTTCTGTCTCATCGGTTCCGTTCTTCATTATTTCTTCTTTTTCTCCATTTTTGCTGCCTCTTTCCGCCGTTTAGCTCAGCGCTGTTGCTATCTTCTGTTGTTGGATATCTCCTCTTTGTCGGCAGCATAGCTTGCAAAAAGTTGTTGGATTGATACTGGCTGAGCGTACACGCGCGCGTCTTGTTGTTGACTTAGGACTAGTCCGCCAAAGGCGTGGCGGCGGATTTAGCTGTGGACATGCAGGTAGTTTTGGTGTTGTTGACGCCTCTCCTTCTGAGGTGTGTATATAATATCTAACCATCAATGCAAATGCATCATTGCACATTCATGTCTTCGTGTCTCGTTTGCTACGCTGGCGTTTTGCGCGCCTTATTGATTACAAGGCATTGCCGATAGATGAGATATTGGCCTCGGGTCACTCTGTTTCCGTTTCCGCCTAAATCCCCGTTTTTCCAGGCTGAGAGGTTCTGCGCGGAACCGGGCCAACCAAATGTGGGAAAAAGCAACGTTCCGGCTGCATCCTCTTCCATGAGCTTTCATGATAGGGAAGCAACGCAGATCGAAAAGCAGTTCTAGAATCAGCGAAGGCAAGGAAGGAAGCAAGTAAGTCACTTCCATCCTAACACCACGTCAGACAGTTGGTCCTCTGCACGTTTTCAACCCCGGTCTTGATGGATAAACTAGTGCGTCTTGGATTAACGATGAGTACTATATATGATGACATACGATACGATGGAAATCAAGGCAAGTAGGATTGAAACAGTGACGTCGCCGCCGCCGCTGTACATGAAAACCCTGTACATTGCCGACTAAAAGTTTTGTGCATGAACAGGGTTTGTGGAGGGACGGGGAAGGGCAGGTCCGTGGCTGTGCATTCTACTAACAAGGGAGCTATGGGCTGTGCTGCTAACCAGAGGGGAGATCAGGGCTGCGCTGCTGCTTCTGCTTCTGCTTCTGCTAGAGAGAAGGGAGGCCGGAAGCGGGAGGCATGGGCGGGAGGGAGTCTGAGCTGCGCTGCTAGAAAGAAGGGAGGCTGGAAGCGGGAGGCATGGACGAAAGGCAGTCTGAGCTGTACCGCTAACTTCTGCTGCTAGAGGGAAAGGGTCTGCGCTGTCATTAACTGCTGTTGCTGCTAGAGGGACAGGAGGCGCGGGGGCAATCGTCGATGACCATGGGGAAAGGTGATGAGGTGTGTATGCTGGAGTTTTGGTTTGTTTGCGCTTTGGCCTTGAACGCCGTCTGTGTGTGTATGGGAGGTGGGTACGTGGTAGGAGCTGGGAGATTGCGAATGTGCGCTTAGTCGGCGGCGAGGAGGAACGACGTCTGTGCGAGACTACGAAAGACAGACGGCAATGCGTGCATGTCTGTACCTACGGTACTTTGTCTACGCGCAAGTATGTGTGTGTGTGGATCGGTGTTGCATTGTCGTCGGCAGTAAAGTTATTGGGACTGAGCGTGCGGCACTCTCACGATCCCCAAATAGCAAATAGTACCTTTAGTACGATTTTTCGGTGTTCTTCGTTCTTACTCGATTTTGCTTAAACAGGACAAAAAAAGACGGTTCTAGTCCTGTAGTCTCTATGCTTCATTTTACGTGGTCGAGTACGAACGGAACCCGCTCCTTTTGATTTGCTTTTCTGCTTCTTTTCGAGCTAGAAGCGATGCGTGGAAGAGCACTGACTTGGTCTATGGATGAAGGCAAGGGTTGGTTTTAGCGGGAGTGTAATGATGTTCGCCTTGTGGATCTGAAGGTGCGAGGATTAGCTGGATGAGGATGCTTTTGAAAAGAACAGGGAGATTGGTGTTCTTTGTGTCTTCGCCACTAAAAGCGAATGCCGGATAATTATGGTGGAGGGTATCTGTAGGTCTGTATGCAAGCTAGAGTCTAGAAATACAAGGTCCCATCAAGAGCATAGGCTAGAAGAAGACGGGTAGGTGCTCATGTGCATGGCTTGGTATGGTCCAGGAGTTGTGTAATTGCGTAGGGACCATAGACGCTACCTGAAGTTGTGAAGATCATGTAGTAGAGATATGATGTAGTATCTGATCTGTTCGCACATAAAGTGGGATCAGAATGCTGAACACTGCACGAGAAGGCGCGAGGCGCTACAGCTTGGCAGCCACGATAGTGCCTTCTGCTCCGATTCATCTGGAATATGCCTACAAATTCTGACCTAGAAATTCAATGATGCTTGGTACAAACACCACAAAAAAACAATAATGATGTACAGGTTCCATTAGCACATAAGCGAGAGGGAGACACACGCCTATTCATGGACTCAGAAGTATAACATCGAATGCAGCATCATGTTCTCGCAGGTCAATCTAGGGCAGTTGCATACTAGATCTAAGCATCAACAACAAAACAGGAGTAGTTAAATGGAGAACGTATTACAAGATATGGCCAATCCTACACTCTTGCTATTATCCTGCGTAGTGACGCTATACTCTTTAGCATCTACGCCACACATGTACTGCCCACTTAAGAAGCTTTCTCAGAATCTACCTATTTCGACCTTGAAAAATTCCTAAGCCTTGCCTTGATGAAACCACATCCAGAATATGTCGCTATAAATCAAAGACTATTGCTACGATATCATCGACTGTGACATCCGTAACCCTAGTTAATCCGTATCCAAAACAGCAGGCCTACAACCAGGCAAGACCCTCCTCTCTACTCAACGCCCATAGGCCTGCTTAACAAAATCATCCCACTCATGCTGCAGATCATCTTGTACCGCCGGACCCGACACCCTAGTCCCTTCAAACTGCAATGCCCCTGCTCCAGGTACCTCGTACAAGCAACCCCTCAATGTCTGATTGGCGAAAAACTCAATGTCTCCCGTACATCTCTTGCCAAAGGTCAATTGGCCCGTCTCCAGATCACGCATACGCCAGCCTAGCTCGCACTGGCCAAAGAGGTTGAAACCAGGGGCGGGTTGAATGCGCATGATGCCGTCCCAGGCGCCCCAGCGGAATGTCGCCCACCAGACGCCGCGTTGGGATCGGTGGAAAGACTGAGATCGA